TTAATCTTAAATAGCCATGCAAAATATATTTTCCCCTTGGTTCACACCTCCTGCGGGAGCTTTTCTGCTGTCTTCTTGTTACCACTCGGCAGGCAATGTCGCGGTGTTTGGCTCGTTGGAGCCGCCAAAGAGCACCAGATGTTCAATTTGCTTGATCAGGCAAAAAGAGAGCAGCGCAAAAAGTGCGATCAGCGCACAAGAAGCTGCCCAGACACAATAAACTAATCCATTTTCGTGCCAGGCACGCTATTTGGAGTGTGAGCATTTCTCAATGGCATGCACTGCTCCATTCCGACACGAATCCCGTGCATTTCGGGCGAGTTGGTCGCTCGCAAGGGTGTTAATGATACGCGTGCAATTGAGATGGGACAGAGATGGTATATTGGAATTATTAATGCTCTGAATATATGGTCGATTTGACACAAGACCAGTTGTGTCAAATGCCTGGGAATTCGGGCCATTTGACGCTACTTTTCGTCATGTTTATCGACTTCATCTTAAGAGCCCACTCAGAAAACTATAATGGTATTGTTTCACCCAATAAATATCCTTGCTTCGTTCACTTTTGCAGTCGGCGTGTAAGATTGTGTTTTCTGGTAATTTAAATATTATTCCGCGCGCAAAGTTTCCCTTCGCCAGAACACAATGCGCGAGAGACAAAAGGGCGAAAAGAACAAAGAGCGAGGCAAAAAATATAATTGTCTTCCTTCTTCATTTAATTAACGACATTGTGATTTAAATTGAAGAACTGTGTTAAGGCGATTTCGCGACGGGGGCGACTTGGGGAGGGGCGGAGGCGCGGTGTGCGTGAGCTTCTTGTGAGAGGTGAAATAGAGAAAAACGGTAAAGTGATCGAGAGACATTTCAATCAATGCGCAGAGAAAAGGTTGAGACATAAAATTTGCATACAAGACACAAGAATAGATAATAATTGAGCCAAAGTCGCTTTGAATCTAGTGCAAGGATCACAATCTTGTCGGTGGAAAATCATGGTGATGGACATAAATCAGCCACTTGATTTACCTACCCAGCTCCAGCACATTGAGAAAATGAAGCATTTTCCTGCATTGGCATAAATCATTTTCGAATGTTCTTCAATATGGGAAAATGTTCCAGTTAAACACGATCATCATCGATCATTCCGATCGATTGTTGGACAAATGTCGCCAGTTTTTTCTCTTCATTGTGAAATTTTATTCAATGTTGTGGAAAAATAATCACTAATAAGACGTTGAATCAGCGTTGAAAGCGAAAGAATCTTCCTGAATATGTCGAGGGGTTAAAAAGTCCAATGATTTATTTATTGAGATTGCAAAGTGTAGATATTGAAGTGAAGGAATTTATGGACAAGCTTCCATGCATTCTAAAAAGTAGATTGCGGCTATTTTCGATTCGAAGAATGGTTTATTGCGTTATTTGTTATTTTAGCCAAGACACATTTTGGGAACAGTTGAAAAAAAAGTAATTTTGTCAAATTATCATCTATGAAACTCATTTTAGATTGAGATGCTTTCGAGTAACATCACGCTACCCCCCTAATTTGCTCTTATTGTTTCCAATCTTAAGCTCATGAACCGCGAAGTCCCACAATAAAATCGTGATAGAGCTACTAATCTGGCGAATGCGTGCAGTTAAACCCCCTCGAAATTATCTCATCAGCAATATCTCCACTTAAGCACCAATTGTATAAGATGAGCAAATCGGGAAAATGTGTCATTCTCTAATCACCAACTTCACCCTCGCCTGCAAAATCGATGCCTGGAATTTTTCTAAATATTCTCACAGTCGCTCTATTCACTGGAATTGTGCCAAGTCCTTCGACCCAAATCTACGCGAAGACGCTTCCGTCAGTTGAGAAATGTGTGCACGAGCCCTGGACCGAGATTGTAGGAGTCACTCAAATTGTCTTCAAGACTTTTCCCGGCGGTCGCGTGGGTGAGCAAGCAGAATTGCTTATCTCCACAATTTACAGGATATGAATCCTTTGCCATTGTTTGAACGCCCGGAAGTGGGAAGAGTGTGACGTCAAATGGCAAAATGCTGGGCGCTGATTCAATTGATAAGACAACTACACGGAATTTCCACTTACTTTTACATGAGAAGACACACATATAAGAGAATCGCTTGGTAAACACTCAGCGAGGGGTTAAGAGTCCTATAAATCTGGCTTTTATGACACCCATTTCCATTTAGAGACTCCTGCGCGAGACGACAAATCTCAAAATTAAACTGTTATTGTCGTTCTATCATTGTCATTGAAGTGCACATTCTGAGAATTGTGGCGCCGTTTTTTTTCTTTCTCTAAACAGTCTCAAATATTGGTTTGGGGATGAGTTGAAAATCTTGATTTCTGCATTCTTGTCTTAGCTAACCCCTCGTATGACCCAGAAAAAAGATCCAAATCATTTCCTCATTGTCCTCCACGTGTAATTCATTATGATTTCTCCTCTGAGCTAATATTTGATTCCATATGTTGTGACGCCTTTTGTCGTTGATGTTTGCGGTGATTTTGGCAAATTGAAAGCTCGCTACGGCGCACAATGATTTGATGAGAGGGAGTGAGAAAATTGCCCTCTCGGAAAGTGCATATCAACACGGCGGAGACAAAAAGTGCATTTACCCGGTGATGCTAAACAATGACTAACAGCCAGTGAATCAATTAATATTTCATGTTATTTATCCATTCACCCCTTGCGATGAGACGAACGCCAAATGTGGTTGGAACACAATTGAATATACAATTCTGGAAAAAAGAGTGTATAGACAAAGGAAAGCAATTGTAATAAATAATGAGCAGAATGAAAATGTCGCACAATCGTGTTATTACTAACTCTATTTCAATCACACAAACAATTGCAGAGGGATAAATTCACCATTTAATACCATGTTCGTATGACTGGGTGAATTATTGTCACCTCTTCAAATTGTCAGTCAATTGCTTTAGGAATAATTTAATTTGATTTGCACTCGAATCATACACAATTATTATGTTATTGTTAGATATTTTATATTAAATTTTTCAAGAACATTCTACATTCAGATAACTCTTGCATCGAGTATCGCGATTACAATGCATTGTACATAATATAAAATATCGAAATTGCGACAGCATGAAGAGAGAGAGAGAGAGAGAGGGAAAAAGCAGCGTCTTACAAATAAGGGAATGGCGCTCAATTCAGAGATCCTTGTTCAGGATAAGAGCGCAAGCACTCAAGTGGGGAAACGAAGGGGAGCGTCTTGCCTGCTTCCAATCTCGTTTCTCTCCTCTCATGTTTGGCAATAATAAAATAATATTCGAAGCGCGAGGATTGCGCGAGGACAACTGAAATACACTGCAAAGAACGTGCCTCGAATAGAGCAAAATTGTTTCTTTATTGGTGACTCTCTTTTTTCGCGCATCACTCATGGCATTCTTGAGATTGTGCACATCCCCAGAAATGGCACTTGATCTAGCCTTTAACAGACGCGCCCCATCTGAACACGTGGTTGCTTGGTAGAAAGGACAGAAAAAGGCGAAGCATGAGACAAAGTGAATTTGAAATATGTCGTGAAGGAGTTTTGATTGTCAATTAGCACGTTCCAATTGTGTACTTTTCACATATTGCACGTGAAATATTGTTTTGAGGACGTGACACATTAGGAAATGAACAGCAGGGATGCAAAAGCTATTCCTAAAATGTGTCCATGATGAATAATGGGTGGGAAATGAAAAGATGTCTATTATAAGCAAAATATATAATTAAATTTGCAATTATAGTGTATGAAAAACCGCAATTTAAACTTGTCAATCACACTGAACTCAGAACACTTTACAAACTATTCACTAACAGACAGAAAATCGATAAAGAAATATTGCACAAGTGTGCGCAATAAAGGAAATTGTCTAATACAGATATCAATTTGGAATTCGTGATTAAAAATCCTTCTTTATCCCTTAACCAGTTTATAGCATCATTGTCAAATGCCACCCTTTTCCCTCTCTGGCTAATGCACAGAAGGGATTCAGCGCTGCTCCTGGGAAAGCTGTAGTGGGGATTAATTAAGATTTATGCCAAGGAAGGTTTTATCGTGTATTTTCCCGGTTCGTGCGCTATGCTCTCGCGTTGACTTAATGATGGCAATGAAAAATGCAGTTGAATTATTATCACACAAGACAGCGTGGCATTCGTAAGAAATTCGTTAGCAATTCCCATCTCGTTGGGAATTTGCGGCCTGGACGCGAGACGTGCCCTGTGTGCATCCCAGCGTTCCCATCGCGCGATCGCAGACTGCATGGCTACAGGTTGAACTGGATGAGGGAGCATCGCGCCGGCAAAAAGCCACTCGGTGTCTTTTTGCGCACGGCCAGACATCCCGAACTGGACTTTTCCCGTGTTCAGCCAGCCCGTTTTGGCCATGCGGAGATTTTTCTGCCCATGCCGGGGAAGGTTGAAAACATTTTGTCATAGAATGTGCCCAAGGCGAAATTCCTCAACTGCCACAAACGGAACTTTATCCCAAGATGTGCTCTCTATTTGGTCGCTGTGGCATTCCGCGTCATTCAAATGCCTCCACCTGTGACGAGATTTCTCCTTGCAACTAATTAGAGAGCCTCGATGTCTATCGTGGCGAAACCTGATAAGAGTCTCCGCCCAGAGAGACAAATTAAATGCGAATAAATCAATTACATCTACGCGTGACTCTCTGCTATGGTGCGACGCTCAATTGCCCGGCCATATTAGAGAATGAATAAAACTGAGTGTTGAGAAGACTCAACAGAGACTGTTTATTATGATTTTTCAGTACTCCCAAATTACTCCCATTCCCAATTCTTACTATGCTCTTCCGACCATTTTAACTTGAGTCCCAACAGCTAAACTTTACCAACAACCTAATGCAAAGTTTGCTCTTATCGAGTGCGCGGCACTCGTGGAAATATGAGGAAACTTGCTCGGAAACTTAATGAGTTCTGTTCGGGGAAAACTTCTCTTAAGTCCTCCTCTTTCCTTTCTCTTCCGCAGGACGGGCGTTCGCCACTGTCTTCAGGCGAGTCGGATGATTCATCAGGTGCGGATTCGCCGGCACCCAGCAGCATCCTCGAGAAGCCACCGTCGACGTCTGCGACGTCCTTGCCGAAGGAGGCGCCGCCCAAAGTCACCCCACCTGTGATAGCGCCCGCCACCAGTGCGCCCCAGATCCAGGCCGGCCTCGGCAGCGTCCTCTACCCGGCGGCCGCGCTGGCCAACCTGCCGCAGGACGTCCTGCTCAGTCTCGTCCAAGCGGGACATCTGCAGTTTCACTCGAACGACGGTGAGTCGCGGTATTTTTATAAGCTCTAGCACTGCTTTAGTTGTCTTTCCATCGAGAAATTATCTATGTTTGACTCTCAGAGGAACTCTTAAAATGTTGAAATTCTATAAGAAACTCTAATAATTATGTTAGATCATTTTTAAAGGTTTATTAGCGACTTTTGGCATTTAATAGTTTTTAAAATCGATGTCCATGGGAAGATATAGGGAAATTGCCATTTGCTCCGCCCACTTGGACATATGATAGAATTCATCTCTGTATTTCAATTCTGCTTATTTGTTTCTGTCTTTGATCTCTCTTCTGTATTATTATCCTTTGACTTTCTCCTCACATGAATTTGATTAATTAACCTCTGCACTGGAATTTCCTAAATGCATATCTGATAATCGTGTATAATTAAATTCGTCCACTAATTTGGTGCTGCAATTACAATTCCTCTAATTAATCATATCTGCAATTGGACGCTTTGTATTGATTTTCATGTGAATTCCTCACGCTCTTTGAGTTTGGGTTGCGCTTTGGTGGCATCACAGCACGACTGTGGCATGAATGGTTGGCAAATGAGTACAATGGAGTGTATTTGTAGATGGTGGTCATCAGTACATCACAATACCCTTGACGACCACCGCGGGCTCGACGCCACCGGCGCTCACGAAGCTGTCGACGGTGAAGCAGGAGAGCGCCAACGGGCGTGACTCGCCGCTCGTGATCAAGAAGGAGAGCGTTGATTAGTGTTTTACAGTCTGACTTCACATGGAATTTCTAAATGCTGCCTGTTTCCCTCTTTGTCCTCTCCGTTATCACGTAATATATATTTTTCTTCGATATTGGGTCAGGAAGTTGAGAGCTTTCGAGATGTTGAAAGCTTGCCGGAAGCGAGAGAGCAAAGTGAATGTAATTTTTTAGGACACATTCATATCTAAATTACCATACTGTACAATTATGTAGGCATTTACTTAACACAGAAAGAGTTACTGAGTTATTGAGAAGATCACTGGAAGCAAAAAAAAAAGTCAGTAAAGTAAAAGAGAGAGAGAGAGAAAAAACGATGTGTTGGGCAAAAATTGCGCGCCCCCAGTGAAAAAAAGAGAGTTTCTTCGTTACAACTTCACACGCCAAATTGCCAAATAATTTCCTCTGACTGTCTCAATGTAAATAATTTATTTAAAAATATATAATGGAGTATTTTTCTTCTCTTTTAAGCCCAATGTCTTTTGACTCGCTGGCATTTTTCTAGCCTCTCTCGCGCGCACCATCTCACTTTGCCGGCGTGTAATCGCACGATGCCACCCACCCGATGATCGTAAATTGTGTCGAGAATGGCTAAACAGAGCGAGAGCATAGCTTTTTGGGGTCTGTTTTTATTTTTAACGGGCCACGAGAGCAAAAAAAGAGCCATTTTTCCGTGCTCGCCTAAATTATTCTAATTTAAATCGCATTCTGACACAGTGCCAAAAATATACAAAATATACGACGGAAAAAATGTGCTATTGGACGAGAAAATGCGGGAAAGATGAGCATTGGGAAAAAGCGACAGTGTGTCGCAATTGGGGAAAATTCGGTCAGATGAACATCATGTCGAACATGTTAAATGTAGGTGGTGTCCAGAATAATATCCTCTCTTTCTCTATCATCTCCCAAGAGTGCGTCTGAGAGAGGAGAAAATATAATTGTATTGCTGTAATTTGAATTGTTGCTCAATTGACAAGGAATATTTGAATGGCTGAGAATTCAGTGCGTCGATGATGCGAACAAGAGATGAGCAATAAAGTCTTCAATTAATATTCACCTGTCGCCATGGCTTGAGCTCGTCATTTTTGGTTGTGGCTGCTGCCAGGTTTGGAAGTTCCGGTTCTGGAACGCACACAGTCCACTTATGGGGGCTTTCGATAGTCGCGCGCGATCACGTGTCCAGAATGAGCAAGAGCTCCATTTGTCCCATCATTCGCCAAATTGTCTCTGCGCAGCGAATTCCCTGACGTCTGCTCGTGACCTTTCCGCGCCAGAAGGTAAAAGTGCATCTCAGCAATTATCCGAGAACGTGATCTTTCTGCCCCTTTATTTGTATTCAGTTGTGAATTTTTCCAATTTTATTAATGCAATTTCCCGTCGGTTTTTCGGTGAATTTCATGTCAAAAGGTGTTTCAAAAGAATGTTTGCGGAGAAATAACTAAATTTAATTAAATACAATTTAGCACAGAGAAAAGCAGGAAAACTGCAGGATTTTGGTGGACATAATATTATGAACGCAAAATAAGGTAGAATTTCTTGCCTTTTATTTTCACAAAGTTAAGCTTTCATTCACCCCAATTACTGAATACAAAACATTGCAAATGCATGTGTTTTTAATCTGAAAATGTATTTTTTTTTTAAACAATTTAAACAGAAAAATGAAGCTCTTTTGATAAGGTTGAAATTAATTCTATAATTAATTTTTATATTAAAATGGTAAACAAAAGGCATGTTGGAGTTTATTCGTAAACTCGTGTTGTATATTTTTCCCAATTGTGTTTTAATACAATCCTATCAATAATCAATAATATAATTGAAGTTGAATAATTATTTTAGGACACAATTTCTGAACTCTACTTTCATCACACATTTCATCCCTTTTATCCTTTTTCTGTATGACATTAATACCATGGAGATGCCAAAATGCGTGAATTTAATTAATTCCAGTGCTTTCCATGAATATGCGTCGCAAAACAATCGTTGTTCTAATTCAAAATGATGTGAAATATCCAATATCAATTGACCAAAATGACCTGCTCGCCACGATTGCAATTTCAATGAGCCATTCACTCGGCAGCCCACTATCGGCGGGGGATTGCTTTGCGTGCTCGCGGGAACGGAATTGATCAACTGCGATTGTAATTAGTGATAAGGGTGGGAGACAGCAGTGTCGCGGTGTCAATCGATGTGCAGTGGAATAGCACGGGGTGAGTTTTCTCTTCAGCCAACTCGCGGGCAATTATAATTATAGAATGTTGAGGGAAGACCGCGCTGTGTACAATTCAGGTGAATATAATTAGGATTTGTGTATTGATTGCAGGGACACTTTATTGCGTGGCTGGTCGCCAGGGAGGGATTATTCCAGCTGGATGAGTAACAATTGCCGGAGCTGTGCAGTCATTACTTGTGGGAAGAGAGCTCAGGTGGTTCACATCGTTTACCGCAGAGGAGATTCCGCAGATGTGGCCAATCCTGTATCCGGGGAATTATTTTACATTTGATGAGTCGCAATTTCCTCTAAATTCAACCACTCATTCTTACTCGGGAGCTACATTATATCGATTTTTCCATGGGATTTCTCTGTCTGAGCTTTTTGAGGGATGAAAATGCTCACATTGGGAAATGATATGCCCTGCAGAAAGACAAACTAAACTACACGAATTTCCCAAACTCATTCATTTTCCTGAATGTAAACACTTTTAGACGCATTCGACTAGAGTTGATAGCACTGAAGTGGTTGTGATTATCAAGAGAAAGTTTTTCAATTCTGAGCCTGAAAATTGTCATAAATCTACAACTGTTGTGCTCATCAAATACTGTTCACGTAAATTAAAACATGGAAATTTAATAACGAATTTAACTTGATTTCTACTATTTTAATTTAATTTAAAATTATGCATTTTCCGTTATTTCTCATTGATTTTTTCACAAACGAGGGAAATACAACAAGTATAGAGCCTAATTAATTGTAAATTTATGCAGTTTATGACTCATTGTTGTCACATTTCAACAACTTTCTCTCCCTGAGAACTTTTATATACTTTGAAAAGTCGTCTTTCGGTGATTTTTCTGTGAATTTTTCAGTATTCAATATAACATTTTAATTACCAATAGCACTGAAAAAAGAACCAGTGTCGAAAATATTGTCTTATAAATTCATATGACTATAAATTGAATAATATTTTAAAGTTGTTTATTGTCCTGCACAGATAAATATAATGTAGACATTTTGAAACTAAGCATTATGCAAATTGTCCACACATATTTGTAATTGATTTTTTTTAGTGAAAATACGATCGGAACTAATTTCTATTGATGCTTACCTGGCTGTGAAATCCAAATCTTTATCTATTTTCTCGTCAAATTGGTGGTAAATTCGAGTGAGTGCTTCTTGAGACTCCCTCAACGCCCAACGCTGTGGGGGGAGAATTAATATTTGCCATTAATGATTGGGCACACATGAAATAATGACCCCAATTTAGTCAGCACCTGTTCTGCCCTCCCGCCACCGTAGCATTACAATAGATAAGTGAATGGAAAACTTCTTTTTGTCCGCACGAACGCATGCGTTTTATTTGTGGGCCGGCTTTCTCCACCTTTCCTGGTCGGACTCGCGCTCAAAGGGCCACGAAAGCACCATCACGAGTGTCTCTCTGGAGTGGAATGACTGAGAATCCTTCCTGATTTATTGCCTTTTGTGTTGTTCGCGTGAAAAAAATTTGTGTGAAAAAATGGGATGTTCCTCGTCGCAGAGTTCAAATGTTGCAACGGAAAATGGCAAGGAACAGCCAGCGACTTATCGTGAGTATTGGCAGTTCTTTGTTGTTCTCGCGATGATTGATGGAATGGGAAATTTCTGCAGCGCCCTCGACTGCCTTCGAGATCCCTCTAGACGATGATGATGATGGCAGTTTGGTGAAGAAGCATCCACCGAAGAGACTCCGCCGCCTCGAGGAAAACCCCTCGACGCCGCCCAGCATAGAGGAGCTGCAGGAAAAGCTGGCCAATGCCGAGCTCAGGCGACAGCAGGTAAGCCGCCTCTGCAATATTGATGGACACTCTGTGACTTTCCCACGATTTCTCGCACGGAAGTTGAGGCTAAGGAGTCCTTGACACCCGACAAAACTCAAAGGACACGTGTTTTAGTGGGTTTTCAGGTCACAACTGACAATATGATGCTCTCTAAGTGCTGTTGTTAGAGCCAATCAATGGAATGTTGTCATCCTTGCAGATCCTGCAACAAAGAGTGGCGAATGTGGCGGGACGCATGAATGGCGATGAGAGGACTTGCGGTGAGTTGGACGAGAATGACAACAAGAGCGAGCCAATGGAGCCTGATAAAGGATGAAAAGCCGTGTTTTATTAAACATACATATATATTTTACTCATTTTTAGTGACATTTACCCGTATATGTTTATAAAATTGTTTACACACACTTTTCTACATTTAATTTATCTCCTCTTTAGGTTCTCACTTTCTCTTCAATAAACTCTCAAAGTGTCATCATCAAATCTTTGACATCAATTTCATATTTTCTTAATAATATCGTAGAAGTTCTCTGTTCAGAAGAAAAAACATAAACAATTCATCTAATCATTCTCACAACACGTCAATCTTAGAGAGCGTCGTCTTTTGTTTTGTAATCTCTCCAAATAATAGAGATTTTTATATACAAAAGCGCGTAAATTAGACTTTTCAACACTTTTCTTTTATCTAATTATTCGAATGATTAAAAATAACAATAAGGCAAACACTTTCTTCTTTGTAACGCGATAGATTTATGATCATATTTTTGATATTAAAAAAAAATTGAGAAAACAAAAACCAGATGTAATAAAAGCGGCCATTTTCGCCTGTCAAAATCTTTAACAGATCGTGCCGATGAAGGTAACTGCAATTTGTGCAAGATTTGCACCAATATCGTTGTGATTCAATTCACTTAGACATGTCATCCTTAAAAATATATCCATCTGACCTTTATTTACATCTATAAAGTATCATCAGCACACATTTTCGGTAGAGTTGTTCATCTGATGGTGAAGCAGGGTAAATTGTGTCAAATGTGCTGAATGACATGTAGACAAGAGTTTTATCATTTTGTATTCATTACAAAAGAACATTCTGCTTAAAAATAGTCTTCAAATTTGTCTTTAACAATTCACAAAATTCATTTTCCTGTTTTTTTATTCATTCCTCTTTCATTTAATCACTATTAGTTGTTATATGAGATTTCTTTGGTTTACTTTGGGGTTTGACATGAATGTCAGTTTATAACTGAAAATGACATTTTCTCACTTGGTGAACAATTAGGTTATTTGTTTCATTGTTTGCTAATTTCTACTACAATATGTCATTTTAATAGTTTCTTTTTTTATATCTTTTTCAAATACAATTACATTGAGATGTGCGTATTATGTGGGGGGAGGGGAGTTTCCATATATATATATATATATATCTTTCTTATTTTTCTGTTTATTTCTAGTAAATCCATAAATATTACACGGTTAGTGACACTATTTTTCATTGGTTTATTCATTATATTTATGATTTCAGATTGTTTAGAAAATGACGTCTACTCTTGTTTTACAGAAAATCAAGGATAAAGGATAAAAGTCGGACAGTTGTCATTGAAAGTGTCAAAATCATTGACAGTGTAAAGTTTTCGTTGAGTTTGAAAGGATTTTTCGAGATTTTTTGAAACTAAAAGGGCGATTTCAACTATTAATCGAGTTAGTCAACGTCTATAAAATCTTTGATTTGTTGTATATATTATATCTCTGCTCTTCTGTAACTCTTGTATATATCTTAGGTTTTTTTTCTCTTTACCATGATAAAATCTAACACACAGCCTAAATTAATATGTAATTTCTTTATATTTGAAAACTATTTTATGTACATTAATTTGTCAATTCTTTGGGGTGGTTTTTCTCAAGGGTGATAAAAAAGATGAAAGGGCATAATTGTGCGAGATAAAAGTAAATGAAAATGATGACATTTAAGAGCGGAAATTTTGCCTGGACGATAAACAATTTCTCTTTTTTTAACACTCTCTCTCTCTCTCTCTCCTTCCACATATCAAATGGACACTTGGTGGTTTTCTTTTGATTCTAGAGTTTCAAATACTGCCAAAATGTCATCTCTGAAACTTCGTGGTTAGCATACAAAAAACTTTAATTCAATACTTATCAGATTAAATATATATATACTTAAACGTATAAAAATTATCATAGTATAACATACAAAATCTAAATTTCATTTACATTATTGAGTTAAGATTTTTTTTTTTTGGTTTCTTGACAACGTCTGACAGATGATCTGTGAAGATCATTCTTGCAAAGTTCTTATTATCTTAGGACTCGTGGGTGTTTTCACTACTCGTTTACACAATTATTTACTAATATCTCCTCAATCGATCTCATCAAAAAAGATCTCTTGATACAAATTTGTCATCAAAATGCGAAAGGAAGATTTTTATAGATGCACTCATGGTGGAGTAACGGATGCATTTGAAAGTGTAGAAGGTGGGACTTTTCCAGTAGAAATTCATTGAAGATTTCAACTGGGCAAATGATTCTTCATCTATTTGGTAATTACTTTATTATTCCCTAAATATCCCAAATATCTGTGTGTGTTTTGTTTCTGTGTCTTCTCCGCATTTTACATCTCTTTGAAGTCTTTATCGATCTCTCATTGTGGGCATGTTATCCCTTTTCTTCAATATTATGAGGCCGTTTGCGCTTGACAAAAAAGAAGGGACTCGTGAGTGATTCGCTGCACGCGTTGTCCATTATCCTGTCTATTCTCTAGCAAAATGGGGTGAAATGCAAGTGTCCCCAGCTCTCTTCTTTTCACTTCGTTGGAGTCATGCGGAGATACAAAAGTGTGCAAATTGGATTTGTCCCTAGAAAACTTCGATTGTATGAAAGCGACTGTTTCCCTCAAATTGTTAGGAAAGCTATGGCGCGCAGTGCTCTTCTGCTGCAATAGAGTGCTCTGCTTGTGCGGCATGTGAAAGTGTTGAGGTAGGGGGCGCTCACTTCGCGAGGCCGCCACCCTTCGCTGGCGCCGCCGCCGCCAGGAGGCCCAGCGGCGGGCGGCCTCAGTTGTAGACGCCGCGCGTCATGGCTTCGCGGTTCCTCGTGTGCCACTTGCAGGTGAGGATGCGAACGTAGGTCCGTCGGAAGGAGGCGTTGCACAGAGCATAGCACACGGGATTGATGGTGGAGTTGATGTAGCACAGGGCGTAGAAGAAGTCCCACAACTCCTGCGGGATGCACTTGGTACAGGCCGTGAGCGGTTTCAGCAGCACGAGAATATTATACGGCGTCCATGTGATGATGAAACTGAGCAAAATGGCGCTCAGCGTCTTAGCGGCCTTTGTCTCCTGGCGCTTCTCCTGCGACTTCTTCTTCTTCTTCACTGCCCGTGGCGCCGGCGCTGGTTTTGTGGCCGTAAGCGTCTTGGGGATGATCTTCGCATTTAGCGGAATGCGCACGTCTGTGGCGTGACTGGCGCGCCTGCCCAGCGGCAGGCTGTACTCCGAGTCACGCGACGGCAGAGGACGCCGCGGCGGCCCGCCGACCAGCGGCAGGGGCACGTCGTCCTGGATCATCTTGATTGAGGGCGCTTTCTCATCACCCTGGCCGCCGTCTGGCGGCAGTCGGATGAGGATCGTGTACACGCTGTCTTGGCTCACTGAGCGCGAGCCCAGGCGATTAGGTGTGGGCAGAGAGCGCGAATCACGGGCCCCCTGCAGCTCCTGGAGCTGAGAAACGGGCGCCGTTGGTCGCAAAGGCGTGGGAGACACGTCGGGAATTACTGCCACGAGACCCGGCCGAGCCGGCGCGTATGGGTCCCGGATGACATTCAGAGATGTGCACCTGCAACGCGAGATACAAACCAATCAAACTCCCATTTTTTAAAGCTCTCAGGAGTTCAATTGTTTTCAGCCACTTACTCAATAAGTTTCTCAGCATGAAATTGTTGCTTTGAGTTATTTTCTTAGGGCAGCACTAAGCCGGATTTTCTTAGTTCGGCGCCGATCTCAAGAAAAGAACTCTTGCAATTTGTGTGAAATAATTTAATCAACTGGGTAATTTTGAAAGTTTATGACTGAGAAACTTTTTCAGAGGGTGTTCTTATGCGTCCCCAGAGAAAGTGGCTGAAGCACAGTGAAAAAAGTGTAAGCAGATATTCACTATGAAAGCTACTCACAAGTCATCAACACTTTCACATGAAAACGACATATTTACGCCTAGAACTCTCTGTCAAACTTTATATGGCGTCTTTGTCAGGTGCATTATCTACCAAGCAAATTGTGATCCATTCTCTTGACTCATCAAATATGTCTTCTTTATCGATATAATTTGGCTGCTAAATCAAATAAAGTGTTTAAAATAATGAAAAAAATTGGCTTGAAAATTGAAACAAAAAAACGTCAGGCTCTTGAAACGTAAGACAGAAAAGTGTAATAAATATAGTTCTAATAGTGACTTGCAACGCTTTTCGCAAAAATGTTTGCTTTCTGATTGGTTGATATAATGTAGACTACCTGGAAACGGAGCTTTGTAAAGGAGTTTCTATGGATACAGGTGTTGCATACCCTAAATCTGATGGATCCTCAGCCTCGTATCCATAGTCTTCCGAGTCTTCGCGACCCGAATGCCACCACGCGATGCACCATTCCTTTATGCTGCCAAGACAGCTCGTCGGTTTGCTGGGAACCGCACTCGTGGCCGTCTGAAAGCCAACCATAAGTTGGGCATTTAGGGCACTTGGCGAAAGGAGCGAGGGATCATTCGATCTCGAGTACTTACGCTTGATCGCCGCGAGAGGGCGCCGTGTGTGTATGTTCCATCCGAAAGCCCAGGATTCGTCATGTAGACACTCTCGGCGTCCGCCGACGATTCCGATCGCGGCCGCCGCCATCCTTCGGCCTCAGTCGTGGCCAACTGAGCCACAGTCATGCCTCCTGAATGATTTACGGCCGTATTTTCATCACTGCAAGTGTGTAATGAGAAATAAAAAATCAATTGATATATTTGTGGTTTGAGGAAGAAGATGTAGAAAGAGGATGTGAAAGAGGCGCGATGGCGGAAGTGATGGATTTCCTAGAAGTATACATTCTGGAGGGAAAGTAAATTCAATGATTTTGCAATATACTTTTATCCCGCATGGCATTTTCCAAGCAATATTGCGATGCTCAAAAAGTTCTTCATTTGCGGGATTGGGATTTATTGGAGTTTCTCGCCACTGAGCCATAATGTAGTTTGTTGCAATTTCCACGGAATTGTAACAGAGGTTTACACTATGCTTAACCATCGAATATTTCCCTCCCCTGAGGGAAATGTGCACGTGTCGCGAGAAGGCTTCTGCAATCATATTGCTATTATTGCTGTGTCACGTTCTTAAGAATTGGAATATTTCTATTGAAATACCATGGATATAATTATTATTCAGTGGAATCTCGCGCGCCAATCGATTGAGAAGAGTGCAAGGGGATGAAATTTCACCTTGAAAAGGCTCATAAATATTGAGAGACACTCTCATTCTCCAATCTTATTGCTTATGCCATCACTTTCGCCCGCAGGAGAGGCACTCGATTCACCATAAATCTCAATGGATTTTTATGCTGTCGCGCGTTTTGCAAACCAACACTTTTTGGGTGATAAAACAGCGCACATCTCTTCCCGGAATTCTTGATGGAATCCTCATCGTGCGGTGATAAGTAGATTGATGAGCTTGTCAGCTCTGTGGAATATATATCACCGACACGAGGACTTGAATGCGAGGTATAAAGTCTATATTTAGTCCTCAAGGCCTCAATTGCAAGGATGCATGTGCTCTATGTCGAGGGGGTGTCTTTTGTCGCAAAGTCGCTGTTCTTTTCCACAGGAAGCGCCGGCCTGACACAATCCTCGACAGAGGCTTCCGCTTCCGCCTCAGCTCCAGAGAATGCCAGCTTGCCTATGCAGTGGAGAAAGTTATCTTTCAGCAAAACTTTTCGCCTTCCTTGCTTTGTCTCACGACATGAGCTTTGTCAGCATTTCACAGCTTCCGGGAAACACCTATGATGGGAAAATGCCGTCTTCGGGTGTGTCTTTCGTGATGAAATTCAAAGTGTTCAATACTAAAGTGACTTTTGGTGTCAATTCTGGTCCCTCTTTAATTTGTTACAAGTTTCACACTGCAACATTTTCGTCTAAAACTCTCAAAAAGTCGCTATGAAGTCTAAAAAAAAGTGTCATTTTCCCCTTCACTGTAATTACTTTTTTGCACCGGAAACTTCTAGGCAACTGTAAATTGTGTAACATATCACGCAATTATGGTGATTTTTGTGCCCTGTAAGCATTCATGGAGAGCTGTATAATTGTTTGTGGCGCAGCACAGCCATAAGCCATTGTTGCTGTCATCTCTGTGCGGAGAGAAAGATGCTGTTTACGGGAAAACCCTTTCCCAATCAAATTTCCACCACAAGATTGCCAAGTCATTCCACGAAGCTCAGCCATGGAATGCGAAAAGCCTGTGAGCTTTGCTGTGTGAACTTTTGATTAAATTTCTCACACATCTTCGCAATCTCGATGCTCAAAGGCATCACTTTCGCATGAGGAATTTTCATGGAAAAGTTCTCTCTTCTCTGACCTTTTCTACATGAATTCTACATACCAAAATGTTTGAACTCAATTAAAATCAAGCGAAATACTCATGCGAAACTATTTTCTTGGGCACAAAGTATATTCATAAAAAGGGACAAGATCAAAGATAAACAACATTTTGAAGGTGCTTCACTCGCTGTTTTAGGTGAAATATAAATGGAGATTCTCCACATTTGCATTTGGCCTCTTCAAATTAATGTTCCCAAACTAAGGGTAGAACAATATCTAGTTTGAATCTCTTTAAATATAGAAAGGTACTCAATTACAAGCTTTGTATTCTGCAATTTACAAGGCAATTTATCCATGGAACTCCAAAAATCAAATGTAAAATGAAGAAATGTTTCCAAATCGGACGAGCAATTTGGAACATATAGTGCATTTTTATTTGGAAGTCCGAAAGAATATAACTTTTCCAAGAATTCACGAAGAAATCTTCCGAGAATTCGTAAGAATCCTTATTTATCAAGGATTTATTTATTGAATTATTTCTTGGTAATCATTGGACAAATAAGTTTACAAAATTTAAGTGTTCTCCGAATTTTCAACGATATTTTTAAAATCATGTTCGATTTTTGAACTTTTTAATCAAAAGAGAGTTTCACAATCGCATAATTTTCTTTCAGTGTAAATGCAAAATTTGGGTAATATGTGGAAATGTTTGCAGTTTCAACATTGAAATGATATATAGTGACCCAGAAAAGCGAGAATTGATTATTCTAATCATAGTATTCTTAATACAATTAAAAATTCTACATTGATGTGCAGCGTTTCCAAACATTATATGTCATTCTTTGTAAAATATGTATATGAACGGCAGTTTCATTACTCCGTGAAAGTACATAGTCAATTCTGAGACTTCCTTTCTCCGAGGTATTTTTAGAAAGTAGCTCCAGTTCAAAATGAATAATGAAAATAAGTCCTGATACGGATTAATAACAGAATTGGGAAACTCACTAAATATTCCATAATTCTTCATTATGTACGAGAAAAGTCTATCAGACATTATATGATGGGAATTTTCACAGCGTTTCGGGAAATTAGCGTTTGAACAATAATACCTTTGATGCGTTATTTGTTTCCGTGCATTTTCCCGTGCGAATACACAGACAATGTAATGGATGAGCGCTCGATTTGGCCAACAAGAGGAAATACCCGAGAGAGCTTTTGGTCATGGGGACGCCTGGTACTGTTCACATACTTCCCGGCGTTTTCGTAGCGACGGAAAGTAGGTCACCGTGTTTACCATCGGGAGCGGTATTTTCTTTTCGGTCGAAGGCAGGAGTGAGTGAACTGGAAAAATCAATTTGATCAATCACACAAAACCACTCGAAAATTTAATGGATAAAAGCTCCTTCGTGAGCATTGATACTAATTAAATATTTAATCTCGGAGACTTTCATTAGCATAATTGAACTTGATGAAGACACAAGGGAGACTCATGTCGCGACAGTCTCGAGAGATCAATTTGGGGATTATCGTGGGTGAAGAAGAGTAACCGACAACTTTCAATTTATAAATAGAGAATAAAGCGAACATTTCACCTGATATTTCACGCTCTTTCGTATTCAGGGAGGAAATGAAATTGCACTGGGAAGATATTTGAATCCACTGTCGACGCGGGGGATTGGAAATAAATTGATGCATCATATATTGTACATCACACAAATTGATAGAAAGAATTTACAAATGCATTTCCCAATGAGTTTATGCATCTCTACAAAATTCTCCACTCTCCTTCATTACGATGCTGCATCAGTTACAATTCAATATTTACAACCTTCTCAGCTCTACAAGATGAATGCCTCAGCACAGGACAATATGGAATAGATACAGAAGTTAAAAACAAACATGAATTATACTCGCAACAAAAGCTCTTCTCGTTCTGTTCTCCATTGGAATCTGTGTCATTCTGTGTATTGTAAATACGTGTGAATTAAACTCGCAGGAAAGCGAAAAGTTTCACAAAACGAGTGACATCGCAAGCGAATGCTCACAGTGTCTTTTTGTGCTAATTCAATTCACCTGCAACTTCCTGGATTTGACGAACGTGAGAGATCCTTTTCCACGTTCAAATAAACAGAAACAATTCAGCTCCTCGATTTATTTTCCCAATGCTGGAAGAATATCTGTCCAACTTCGCTTAAAGCTAAACATTTCTGTTAAAGTATTTCATTTCCGAAATGTATAGATAAAAATTGATTGCAGACCATAAGAGTACAATTTCGTATGGAATGTTTTTGGGGCAGATTGAAATCAAATAATAATAATAATAGTAAAAAAAACCAATTGCAATTGATTGCTATTATTTGCACTTAAAACACTGTAGACAGAATGCAAAAAATGTGGTTTTGTTTGCATAATAAAACAGTAATATTTGGAATGAACGCGCGATGTCGATCATGGTTGAAACTTTAAAAATATAAGTGAAGTGTATTCGATATTTGGTGGAAAAATACATGTAAGTCTTAAAATAAAATTATAGCCAATAAAAACTTCAATCATATGTATAAACGGAAATATTTATAATTCAGTTACCTAATAATATTGCGAATTAAAGTTCCATATTTTTTGATAAAGAGGTCTTTAAATATTCATTGGTATTGCAGAATATTCATAGATAATAATTTTGCAATGCAATATTTGATTGAAGAAGGGAGTAAATATTTTCCACTTTCCCCGGGAATTTCCATCCTAGCATTTGAGTTGTGGGGAAAAGTGTGGTGTGAGGATGTTCATGTTGGATCTCGATAGGACTTCAAGCCGACTGCTTTCGGGACTCACCTGGAATTTGACCTCTTGGAGGAGTCCTTCTTGCCCGCCTGCAGATTGGGTAGATCCTTCTGGCGCTTCTTGGTCTCCCGCCAGATGCGATAGTACAGGAAACACATGACTGTGACTGGCACGTAGAAGGCGGCAATGGCGGTGCCGAAAGTGATGTAGTGATTGGTTTCGATGAACTGAATGTAGCACTCATTCTGCGGTACCGTTCGCTTGCCCTCGATGTATGGCCAGCTGTAGATCCACGGCGGCCACAGCAGCAGGCTGATGCCCCACGCGGCAGCGATCATAATCGCGGCGCGCGTTGTTGTGCGCTTCGCCTGCGAACACAAGTTATTGATTATGGGGAGCAAAATCTAGATTTCATTTCCAAGATTTCCTCAATTTGATTGCCAATTGTGAAACTAAGTTAGCGCGAAAAGTATCTAATAAAGGTGTTGCCAAGGGCATTATTCTGTTATTCTTGAATCGGAGAAATGTGGTTTCAGTGAAAGAAAAACATCTCATGTTTAAAACATTGATTCTGCATGATTTTACTCTCTCAGTCATCACTAATAAAGCTGTTGTCTTTCAATTAAAGCAATTTTCAGTACAAAAATGTATTGGAAAAAGACAAATTGAGCAGAATTTGCATCGATAAATTCGAGAACAAGTTTTGCATATTTGATAACATCTTAACAGCTTATTATTGCAATTTGAGGATTTCTGGAATAATTGCTGACCCCATGGAAATTTGAAACTCATTCTGAGAATTTGGCGTGATAGGTTTAAGCTCTGGGTGAAGTTCTCGGAAGGCAAATGTGAGCGCAATTATCCTCTTTTCAGGGAAATACAGGGGAGCACTCACCCGATATGTGAGTGGCCGCGTGACGCTGAAGTAGCGATCGAAGCTGATGATGAGCAAGTTGAGCACGGAGGCGTTCGAGGCGAGGTAGTCAAGCGCCAGCCACGTGTCGCAGATGTAGGGCCCGAGCGGCCAATAGCCCAGGAGCGTGGTGACCGTGAAGAGCGGCATGGAGATGAGGCCGATGGCGAAATCAGCAATGGCGAGGGAGAAGAGGAAGTAGTTGCTGATGGTCTGCAGTTGCTTGTCAATCTTGAAACTGATCATCACCATCACGTTGCCTGCCACGGTGAGGATACTGAGGATGCTGCCGACAATGGACAAGATGACCACCTTGTACATGTTCAGCTCGGGCAGCGCGTCCGGATCCACGAAGGTGGCGTTCACGCTCAGGTTCACCATGCCGCTCGCGAGGTCCGACGTCACGTCGAAGTCCTCGGACGCCATCGTTGCCAATTCCGTGGTGAACATTTCCATCAGTCTGACTGCCGCATTCGCCAATTAATCTGCGAATAGAGGCGCGGAGTGAGTGTGTCTCCATTGATTGCGACTGTGGCACGATGGGGCGAAATTGGATACATTTGGTATTCAGGTGCAAAGGCAACATTTGCGCCACAATGACAAGAGATGTATTATTGAATTACGTGGAATTCAAATATACGGACTTACCATGTGAATTGCGCATGCAAATTTTGCGTGTGTTGTTAAGGACATGTTGTTAATCTAAATAAATTCTCTGTGCTACACAAAACAATTGAAATTACTCCATACATCGATTTGAAATAACAAACTCTGGGTTCAAGAGACACCAAAGTAAGAATTTGCAAATCATTATCTTTTATAAACAACACGCAGACGCTGAAAGTTCAAGCCAGCACAACTTGCGAATTTCGTGGCGCTTTGAAAGACACAAATTTTTCCTGCTGATTAAAAACAAAACGCAGAAGTTGATATGAAGATTTTCGATCTTGTACGCAGAGCATGACATTCTTATCATCCCGCTATCTAATTGATAAACGCCAATACGATTTAGCAGTTAGATTAAGACAGATTTATTACAATTCGTATTGTTGCGACATAACTTTCTTTAATTGGAATGATAAGTCTCGGAAAATCAATACGACAAAATCTGTTCTAATCCGTTACAATGATCAATTAGAAAGTGATAAGATTGTGTTCATTTTTCCTAGTCATTTGTACGCAAGTCATGCTTATTCTGAGCAAAGAAAACCGCAAAGTTAATCTCAAAGCTTTGCTCATAATCAAACCAGGTGAATTTTTGTATCTTTCTGAGCGCCAAAATACATGCAAGTCATGCTTGCTTGAACTTTTGGCGTCTGCGTGCTTCGTATAAAAGCATCTTGAGGTGTGCATTTGCGATTCATTAGTGTTTTGAGTCGTTGGACAAGAAGTCACAAAATGGACACTTGGGTTTACTTATTGGTGGCTATTGTCACGCTGTTTTGGTTCTACGTGAAGAGAAGTCATGGCTTCTGGGCGAGACAAAATGTTCCTGGCAAGCCTCCGACTTTCCTCTTTGGCCATCTCGATATTCTGGGCCGGAAGCACTTAGCGCAGGGCATCAAAGAGACGTACGATTCATTCAAGAAGACCTCAGATTATGCCGGATTCTACTTCTTCACCTCGCCCAGAATCATTCCTCTTAGCCTGGACCTCATCAAGCACATCCTCGTGAAGGACTTCAACTACTTTTCGGACAGGAAGTTGTACTTCAACGAGAAGGACGATCCGCTGTCGGCACACTTGTTCAGCATTCGTGGCGAGAAGTGGCGAACATATCGCCAACAACTATCGCCGACTTTCACGTCTGGGAAGATTAAGATGATGTATCCTCTAATAGTGGAACACATCGGCGCCCTGAAGGCGTTCCTGAGGAAGAATATGAAGCAGGGCCCCATGGATTTTAAGGACGTGTGCACGAGATATGCTGCAGATGTCATTGGACTGACAGCTTTCGGGATGGAATGCAATGCACTGAAGAATGAGAAGTCAGAGATCTTGAGGATGAACCACTTGCTGTTCACCTTTGACACCTTCGCGAAGCGCCTCAATCTGCTCTTCACTGCGAGCTTTGAGGAGATTTCACGGAAAATGCACCTGCGAATCGTGCCAAAAGAGCTGGAAGATTGGTTCATGGGCATGATCAAAGAGACGCTGAGACTGCGAGAGAGCGGCAAAGTGGATCGCAATGACTTCGTGAAGTTGCTGCGGCAGCTGAAGAACAAAGGTACCGGAGCGAGCGAGGATTTGACATTCAACGAAACGGCAGCGCAAGCTTTCATCTTCTTCTTCGGTGGCTTCGAGACCACGGCGACAACCATGCACTACTGCTGTGGTTACCTGGCCAAGAAGCAGGACATCCAGGAGCGAGTGCGTGAAGAAGTGAGGCAAGTTCTGAAGAAATACAACGGAGAATTGACCTATGAAGCGGCACACGAGTTGACGTACCTCAAGCAATGCATTGACGGTGAGTTTTCTTCACATTGAGCATTCAGAGTGGAAAGTTTGAGTTGTTTTTCAATTTAAACATTTATTAGTTGGCGAATTAATGCCTTTCATCATTATTTGACTTGTTACCTTTCAATTTTACCTATTTTTCAAGCCATTTCCAATCCAAAATTGTGTTAAGAGAGAGATAAATTGAGAAATTTCAACTGCATATGTGCGCGATAATTGGATTAAACATGTTTAACTATACTTTCAGAGACTCTTCGAATGCATCCACCAGGATTTTCACTCTTCCGCATGGCAATCAACGACTACCGCGTGCCCAACTCTTCTCTGGTCATCAAGAAGGGTCAGGAAGTGATTATTCCCATCTATGGCATTCACATGGATCCTGACATCTATCCAAATCCCGATGTCTTCGATCCCGATCGCTTCTCGGCAGAAAACGTGAAGAAGCGCCATCCAATGGCACACTTGCCCTTCGGCGAAGGACCGAGAAATTGCATCGGCATGAGATTTGCTCTGCTGGAATTGGCCGTAGCCATTTCCAGTATCGTCGACAACTTTAAGCTCACCATGAATCCGAAAACAATCTTTCCATTCCAGTTCGACACGAAAGATTTGGCCATTCTGCCAAAAGGTGGCATTTGGATTGATATTGAGGAGTTAAAAGCTGGACAGTAAATTTGATTTTGAAGTTTCAATTCATTTATAGAATTAAATAGAGCAAACTTTCTGCATTCGCACACACTGTGTTGTGCTTTTTTCCAGCAGCACTGAATAACGCAGGACTGCAGAATGTTCACACGGTGAGAACAATAAAATGTGATTTTAAGTGGAACAATTGGACAAAACTGCATTTTAGCTCTTGTTTGCACACCACGGGTGAGCGGCAGAGCGGAAGTGCAACTCACAAACTGATTTGCTCCAGTAAAAATGGAGGATGAGTTTTTTTCCTCTGGTCGCGGGTGAAAAAAAAGAAGTGTATGAGATTTTCTCGGCAATTCAAAGTATCTCATAAATTTAAGTCTCTCACGGCAGGTAATTTATGGGCTTTCGGTGAAATTGGGTGAAGTTGCAAAGTGGCCTTATATGGCAATTGAGCAGAAAGCTCTCCTGCATATGAAAGTTTCATGAATGGCAAAATTATGGAGGCTTCTTGACCACCACTGGCAGAGGGACATCGGGTAAATATTTGATTAAAATTTCCTCTGCTGACATCTCGATTGTGATCCTGTTTGTCCACGCGGGGCAAAAGCTTTCGCAGCTTTACGAGCATATATGTGGGCGTCCGAGTGGAGATTGCAGTGAGAATGCGTGGGCGAAAAATGCTCTGTTGCAGCGCAAAAGTCGCTGAATCAACCCTCGACACATCACTGCTGATTTTTGTGTGTTTTGTTAATTAGTTAGGTAAATGTGCAAAATGTGGAATTTTTTTTTCATAATCCGAACAATAACTTTTAAGGGCAACATATTTATTTATTCATGCATCATGAAAATCCCATATTATATATATGGCATTCCTAGGATTTTGGTTGATAAGTCGAGCATTTTTTTTCCCCATACATTAATGTCTCTCAGTTTCAGCGACATGGAAAATTCCTCGAGAGCCGAGGATGCTTGTCTTTAGCAAAAATCGCCAATCTTCTGGATTCAGAGAGGAATTTCGTGTGGCACAAAGAATGTTCGCCCGCCAAACGAAAATTGCGTGCAAATTCATCTGTGCGTTGCCATGAAAGGGGAAAAGATGAGTTGATTTGCCAACGTGAATCCCTTTGGCTCCACTTTGACTGGCAGAATGGCACAAACAAGCCCATGAGCTTTCACTTTGCTCCACACAGAGGAAAATATGGAAATTTATGGCGCCGACAATATTAACTTTCTCTGAAGGTCCACGCGAGAGAGCGAAAGCCGGGAAAATGTATGCTTTCCGGGGAGAAAAAAGTATGCGTGAAGAGAAAATGCTTTATCAAAAATACTCTATTTTGTATTATGATTTAAAGGAAAGGAGAAAAAAAATGACGGGTAAATGTTGAATTATATGTTGAGCGGATTCTCTTCTTATGAACGCGTAATTCTCTTATCATTTTCGAGTTATAAACAATGCCACAGAATAGCAAAATGTTAAGTGCAGATGATGCTACACCCAGAACTTTCCTTTGTAGTTCCACAATGTCTTTGATATCTAGAAGTTCCACATCAAGTTTATGTGTGTTATAAAATCCGCCTCGAGATATTTTCTCTGTGAACTCATGGGATTCAAATGAAAATTCTATTACAACTTTTAATTCAGAATTAACTTTGCCCAGGGAAAGTTCACATCATAGATCATTTCTTAGTTTCTCATCAAACTCCTTAATTTATAGCGAGAGAAGCAATTAAAAGACAGAGTTTTTAATAAATCCCGCGCAAAGCATCTGAGCAGTGAAATGAAATTTTATTTAGCGATAGTGTCTTATATCTTCACTACTTCCTCATTACGTGAGCTCTGGTGCTTTTATAGCCTGCAAATGGACTCAGTGGAAATTGTATTTGCTGGAGGAAAATTACACATCTCGTACCAATTAGGGCTCTCGCCGAAGTATCTTGGACATGGTCAGGGCGTGCTTTTGCTCCACACACTCATTTGCAGCAAATTGTAATTAAGCTCTCTAGAGTGGCGAAAAAATCATGAGATTAATTGAATTGATTGTCGTCTGTATTATATGAAAGTTTGCGGGGGAAATTAAAATTTCAGCATTGTTAATTTACGGAGGAAAGCCAACAATAAGGGCCGAGCTGGAGAGTTCACAATGGATGTCAGGGTGGGTGTTTGTTAGTTTTTGCTGCTGAATCATTCATCAAGCGCCGGGGAGAGACTGAATAAATAATAATAATTTAGCCAGACAACACTCGGAAGATGGATAAAGTTCAGACATCGGGTGGAAATCAACACCGGGAAGAGCTTCATCTTCGTTTGTGACTGCTCTGAATTATACACCCCAGAAGAACCACACGATATACTTGCGCTAACTTCTGCGAATATAATCTATATTGTTCCAGGAAGAAATATTCCACATTAACCGATGCTTTTGATAAATATTTTTGCTCATCGCAGCAACGAGAATTTTTTGCAGTTTTCAATCGTCAAATGAAATTTCCCAGAACTCTGGGAGCGACATTATTTAATAAGCGTGCAACAAATTCTCTTTCCCATGTGAATTACACCGAAGCCCTCCTGACATTTTAGTTGTGCTTCCCCGAAGAACAACGAGGAAAAAATAATCAAAATGAGTGGGAAAAGTTCGTGCATGTCAGTAAATTTATATTAAGCAAATGCAAAACTTTTGTATTCGCCCATATTCCCGGAACTTGTGCGTCAAACTGTTGAAGTATGTTTGTGTACATACACAAAATGCAAATCCTTGCAAAAATGTGCTGTGTAATATTCATTTATGCACATATGAAGTCCCGACGGAGTGAAAAAACAGTAATATTTTATCACCAATATGACAAAAGATAAGCACAAGCTCTGCTTTGGCTTGTGCGAAGCCGGGATTCGAAATTTGTAACAGAAGAGCTTTTTCTCACACAAATAATATATAAATTTTTGATATATAATCGAACATATTCTTCATGCTCCCCCCAGAAATTTAATATTTAACAGCGCAGAAATTCCAGGAAGAGTTGAGTTAAATGAAATGTCGGAAATGGGGCTTTAACGAAACTTTTTCTCATCAATTTTTTTTCTGTCGGAATTTCAGCAAGTAAAATTGGAATGGGATTTCGAAGAACGTTTCAGAATGCGGAGAGAGAGAGAGAAACCAATATTGATCAATTTGTGGGTGAAATGATGCAAATTTTATGCTTGATTTTTATCTAACGCCGTTTTTTCCCACCCCTTGCTCCAACACTCTTCTCGTCAGTCTCTCGCCATTCAATCAAACATACGAATGCTCCCCGGGAAATTGGGGTAGTTTTCACATGAAGTCTGACGAAGGGCAAAAAGCCCCAGAAAGCTCATCTCGTGCTGTCGTCCCACATTGTTAATTTTGAATGTGAGTGGGCAAGAAAAGATGATTTGGGAAGGATATCCGGCGAGAAGGTGGTTCAGCGTCAGCAAATGCGTGAGTGAATCTGGCAATGTTACATCCTTGTGGCTTGATGATGGCCCAAGTTTGTTTTGGGGGGCGGTTTCTGGCCCCTGCCCCGCACCTGAACTCCTCTCCATCCCATTCGATATTCCCAATCTCGCCAAGACAACTGCGAAATGTCGGTTCATCACTCATCGAGTTTCTGCGGCGCAATAAATTCCCAGGGCTCTCTGACAATCCCCGGCCGCGCGCCGGGCGGGGGACTAATTGAAATTGAGTACGAACATTAGGGGTTTATCGATGTCAATGGCACATCGCCTGTCTCTCGGCACGTCTTCTGCGCCCTCCGGAATCAGCCCATGCGTGCTCTCCGGGCTGTTCGCACTCGAGTGCACCGCACGAGAGGCAGATTCCGCCACTCCTACCGTAATTGAGTGTAATCAGACCATCACGGGATCCTCGAGGAAGCGACAGGTTCAAGAAACTCTATCTGAGTCAAGCACCACGTGCCTTTGCGACGCTTGATCTCATTAAATGGTTTCTTTTAACCCATCACACAGCTCGAACTTCTCAATTTCATGTCGGATAAATCAACCACTTCACGCTTCGATGGGCACATTTCCACTGGCATTGTGTCAGCAATATCTTTTGGGTTCGGTGCACACTTTGGGCTTTCTGTTTTTAGTAACTCGAGTTTCACATCACAGCGTTTCTCTGTGGCTTTTTTGTGACTGTAAAATAATCAATTGAACAAAGTTTGCAGTGTTATCGATTGGAACTCATTGAAACTTACTCAATTTACCATAAAATTTTGGCATATTGGGATGTTTTAAGGTATTATCTTGGGTATTATAAGATATACTTTTCTATAGACCAAGCTTTTTTTTCTTATACACGAAAAGAATTCTGTTTCTATAAGAGAAATTCAATTAAAACAGTTATGAAACGCTTACATTTGATTATAATCACTGTAAGGATTGTGAAACGTGATTACCATCTCTATCGAGTTTTCCAAAAACGTCCTGATCAACCATCAGAAATGGGTTAATAAAGTTAATGTAATGTAAAACGTTAAATAACTTCCCTCGAGGTGCAGGAAATGTAGGAACAAGGATGGGGATTTTCCTAATTAATTTGTGTTCATGGCAAAATCTCTCGAGAGGCCATATAATGCATTTTCCTCCCTTCGTACTACTTTTTAATTTCTCACAATAGAACCAGGAATAAACCATCCGGATAATTTATTTTCGCGTAACTTTCCATCAGCAATTTTCTCATCACTTCATTATTATTGTTTCTCTTTTCGAGGCATTTCGAGGGCTGTTTTTGACTGGATTATGTAATTATTCTATGCGTAACTGCTAACTTCATTATCGACGGGAGAGCTTTCGCCATTGTGCTTTGGGTATAATGAGTTACTAAGACTGTATGCAGCTGCTAAAGTGAACTATATTCTGAGCAGGAAAAGAGCTTCCTCCGTGTCCTGAGTGGTGCTCATTGTCTCGCTGCGGGGAAAAAGGCGACAGGAAAGCCTGTCTTGTTTATCATGCCTGTCACATGACCAGGAGGGGTGGTGAATAGGTGCAAATAATAGCGATGAAGAGAGACGGCGGCGTTCGTGGAGTGTCATCGTGTCAATTCTGTATATAATCTGCTTTCATCCCTTTGAGCTCATCCCCATGAAACTTTAAACAATGTGCATGTATGGCGAAATTTGCACTGAATGCGCAATGGCGGAGTGTATAAAAGTTGAATGAGGTGTTATCACTGCTCACGGGGGTGGTTTTTGTGAGCCCAAAACACGAAGGACATTGACTTCCTCACCATGTTTATCTTCTCATTCGCGTCACTTTGCCACTTTTACTGTGGATTTCCACTATATATGTCAACTCCCCCAAACCACTTGCAATCACCCAGGAAATGGAAGTCAACACGCAAAGTTCCGATGAAAGAGCTTTCACGGCACTTTGACGTATTCTCTCCGCATACCCACGCATCTACCCTTGACATCAAGGCCAGCAGTTGCATAGAAAGTATGCAGAGATGAGTATATTTTTAGATTCAGATCGGCATTTGCTTGCTGGGGTGAATTTCTCGTAGAAAAGGAAATTTTCCTCAAATAAAACTCGTCTCTACAGTTATTATTTAAGGCTAGTTTAAAACGGAAGAGCCTTATTTCCCACTTTGGCCGGCGGACAATGCCAAATTGGCCTCTGTTTCGCAAAATGAACTGCGCCCAGATGAGGAAGAGGCGTAATTGAGCAGGAAGTGAGGTCAAAATGGTCACAAAGTCACAGGGAGCTTTTTTGTGGCACAAAAAACCACAAACATTTCAAACTGGAGCGAAATTACTTCCTACACTCAAAGAAATGCACGCGATACGAAAAGAAAGAAAGAAAGTCTCGAACTTCTGAGAGTGATTTGTTGGCTTCATTTAATTCCATTTGCTCTCAGAAACCAACTAAAAACTTTCTCAGTGTGATTTTTGAATTTACAACACTGCTTGTCAAAGTTTCTCTGCGAGCTAGAACTTATGTCAATCTCCTGGAAAAGCCGGAAATATCTGATGTGCTTCAAGGACTTCCCAGTCACATGTTAAGTCCTTTTCCTGATCCCGCAAGGACTTACTATTTTTACTCTATTTCCTCTATGATACTCCATGACATAATGGCGCTTTCTTTCTTCCCATCACTTGTATGATAAATGAAGTCAGATCCTCTAAATGATGCTTTCCATCACCAGTGATAAAAGCTCCCGGTGTGTTTTTTCGAGTGCAAAAGACTGTTTTTTTTCTCCACACCAGCAAGATGACACTGTGAAAGCCACCAAAGCATTGAAGTGAGCATGGAAAAGGGAAAAACCTCATTACAACGAATACAAAAATATTCAATTTTGTGTCCTTTTCACCACTCGCTCGCCACAAGCTGGCGATGCTCCAGTGAAAAGCTCTCCGGAACGTATTCCTGGGAGTTCCTCAGCGTCGCACACCAGGTGACTTTCAAGTGACCCCCGATGGATAAAAGTCCCGAAGCACCACATTGGATGGCCGTAAATTGTGTAATTGGAATCAAAAAGACTCCATTATTCTGGTCTGTGATCATAAAAAATATCGCATTTTCGAGTGAAAGTCACAATTGTGAGTGGTTTTTATTTCCTCTATAGAGTTTTGCTGTTCAAGCAGGAGAAAAAGTGCTCGTCTCGCGCTGGAAAATTCATTCAGTTCGTCGGTGGAATTCCCCATAATTTCGTTGTGGTGTCCCGCCTTTTTTCGCACCACCTCAGATTCCATCTCATGATGTGTACACACACACTGGGGGTGAATTTAGATGTGGGGTTGTTGGGCGATGAGGCAGGTCAAAAGCCCCCCTTTCGGGACCACTCTCTCATGCCACGAAAGAGAGCGGAGCGCCAGAGAATTGAGAGGAGAGAAAGAGTGGTAAATGCCCGAATTTCGCAAGGACCGAAAAGCTCTTATGGAGCTCAATCGATTTCTCTCCGTGGCTCTCGCCCTTTCCCCATTTTGGCGGCGCGACTGAGCTTTTCGGCAGCTCCGACGCCGGAAACAATCGCCAAAGATAATGTGAGAGATAATCGGCAAAAAGAACTCTTTTTTTCTCTTTGGCAACAAAAAAATGCTGGGCATGACTTTCTCCTCAATAAAATTCTCCTAATTATTTCCTCTTTGACGCAAGGCACGGCCCATATTGTTCCACCCATTGTCACCCATGGCACTGTGCAATGCGGAAGAAAATTATCCCTGTACGAGCGGTGGTCGAAAAAAGGAGAAACACTCATAAACAATTCACAGGGTAGCATAGGGAGGGTAAAATAGAACGCATTCCACTCGCGGCATGAAATTTGAATGAAATAGCAATTTTAGAGTGAACCACAAGGGAGGGTTTATCGCCCAAAGAATAAATTATTCTTGTCGTCGCGCTGCTCGTATTTAACACTGACTGAACTCAATGCAATCACTGTGAAAATCAAAATGGAAGAGCCTTTGAATAGAGCCAGGAGCTCATAATGGCTGTGAAATATCTATAAATTTCCAATCAAGTGATATTCTCGTTCAAAAATATTATGATTCGGAAGCTTATTAAATCGGGAAATAGTAGAAAGCTCCACCCACTCATATGCTCCGCCCTCTCAAGATAAGTTCTGGGCGAGTTTACATATGAAATGAAAATGAAAAACTTCTTTTTTTCACTTAAACGAAAGAATAAAATCGACTTTATTCATTGGAACAAAGCGTTTCTCTCTCGTTTAATAAATTGGACAACATTTAGTGTAAGAATATATAAAGAGAGACAAAGTAGATGCTCTTATTTATGCATAAATTTGGTTTGATGATTTTATTCTATTTATTCAATGAATACCGTTTGATTCTTCTAAATCACACAGAGTTATTGCTAAAAAAAATTACCGAAAAATGCATTATCGACATATTGACCTCAATGCTATGTGCACATAAGAGAAAATCGTTGTGAGAAGAATTAATTCAACAAGCAATTACCGAAATTGCTAGTAATTTTGCTATGATTACACTGCGCTTATTGATTAGGGAATTCCCTCATAAATGATAAAGCATTTGATTGCACAATTTTGCAGGGTTCTTCACTGGCATGTCTTCAGCACAACGCTAGAGCAAAAGTGGTAGAAAATGATAGCATACACTTCCCAAAGTTGCCTAATAAAATGCGTACAAATGACAGTGGTGTTTGTGGAAAAATTCTTTGCCATTTTTCTCATTTTCTCTCAATCCATTTAACTGTCGCTTTCGCCACGAATCACGATTTATCTCCATGAGTGAAAAGCTCATGAGCTTTTCTCACTGATGGCACACATTTTTTCGGTCATTTCGGCAAGTCTGTGGAAAATGAGTGGAAAATGCATGTCGCTTACTTGATCATATATCCCTGTATTGTTGTCGCTGGAGCTTCCATTTGCTGGGATCATCCATGCTGAGCTGTTACGAGGAGAAATCACAAGCACTTTGAGAAATGTCCTGCTTAAAGGTGCAACATTGCACTTTCTATGGGATAATTTTTCTCCTCAGCAACAGACAATTTCCAATGAGAGTTTTTCTTGGTGTGCACACGATGGAAAATGCTGTATCTTCGTCTCACGACTATCGAAGATGATTTCCACCCTCTTGTCAGGCTTCAATTCCTAATTCAATATCCGACGAGCAGAGGAGCGTCGAAATATACCTGGAAAGAGCGAGAGGCGATTGGTATGAGGTTTTCCGTGCGCTGGGAATATATTTATAGAACATGAGGTGCAGCGTTTGCATCTGACGATAAGAATAGGCCGCAAATGCTGCACGAGTGAGTTAAATGCATTACATTCGCTGGCAAAGCACTGCATGGCAATATTGCGACGCTTGCGATGGAGCAAAAGCGAGCACACGATTGGAAGGAAGTCCAATGTCAATGTTAAAGCGCCCCACTGAGATGCCATTCATGGGACTTATTGCATTTTCGTTGACCTTGTCGCCAGTCAACAATTCATGTATACCGTGTGAGGGTGGAAATTGAGGGAAAATGCATCAAGTTAAATGCGGTTTTCAACCATAGCAACTGAAAGCCTCGCCCCGGGAGGAAATTACAAGGTTTCCACCCTTATCCGCTTTTCATCGCAACTATTTACGCACTGCATATCCTGAAGTTCGCCAATGTCAATGTTGCACATTCAAGGCTAAATGGTTGCCGAGGAGATATCACTGCGCTTTAAATGAGAACTTCTCCAGTATAAAGTCTGAATAAACTGTTCTTTTCAAAGTTATCTCATATAATCGTGCATTTAGAAGATGAAATTCCCCAGCATTCAATCCTTCGGAAGGTAACTTTCTCAGAAACCTGAGTATGAGATAAGGAAGGATAATGTGGCTCTTCGCAATCAAGGAGTGTATATACATCTCAATGCGTAGAGAAGAGAGAAAATACAGAGAAATATCAGAGCAGTCTACATTGAAATTTGTTTGCGGCTTGTGACCTTAAGCTCGTATTTCCTCTGCACACTGAGAAGTTTACACTCCTTGCTTAGCAATTCTATGCACTCTTTAATTGCCTGACATTTAAAGCTTTGCACAAGATGGAAAATAATACAGTGACAAAGATGAAGTATTGTGTGAGAAAACATCCACTCGAGGCCAGAATTAAGCGAAGCTCTCGAAAGCGATCCAATGTCCGTTTCGAGACAATTTCCATTGTGCCCTATTGAAAGTTACTCATGACAGCCTTTCTCGTGCTCTTGTATCCAGTGCACAGAGTTAACATTGGAGAACTCACACCATTTTCCCTGTCTGCCATCATAAGAGGGGTTCTTCATTATCCTGTTGGCTCTTCATTTACGGCACTTATCAAATTTCCAATACACTCTCAGTGCAGATGATATTGTATGAAGTTCAGTAGAAGCTAAAGTTTAGAAATATTAAAGCCAGCACGAAGTGGAGTGTCGTGAATTGAATGTTTGGAAAGTAATAAAACGTCCTTGTATCACTTGTTATTACTATCTGCATATATTGGGATTGAACATATGACAAAATTATGTTATAAATTCAGTGTTTGTAGCATTATTAAGCCTATTTTATGTCCAATATTTGATTCCTGAATATAAAAATCTCTTCTGTATGTGAACATTAAATAATATAATTTGATCAAATTAATTTGCATGAGTATAAAAGTAATTTCTCACGAACAAACAGAAAATTAATTGAAATTTCTTGGAACAAACGATTAAAATTATCACACAAAGAAGCTTTGCTTTAACTCAGCAGCTCTTAATTGTCGGAAAATTAGTAGGTATTTTGTTCCATTTAAATTTAAAAAATTGCAAAATAATTAAATATTTATAGACACAATTTAAAGAAAAAAACCAAGGTTTGTTTTGTATTTTGACCGAATTTTCTCGGAACTCACATAAAGAAATACGAAATTATTCCAAATTTACATTTTTGCTGACATGTTCATTTCACGGGGATTTCAAAAGAAAGTCTATATTCCTCAGTATGTCACTAAAATTGCTTTTTAATGCAAAATAACGCTGAGAGATTATGAAAGTCAGTCGAATGACATAGAAAATCACTGTCACAATGCAAGTTTGATTCAATGCACTGATTAGCACTGCATTGAGAGTCATTGTCAATGCATATTTGCGGGCAAATGATGGAAGAGAGCTGTGCAAAATTGGTCGTGAAGAAGGATTGGATGTGTCGCCGAAGATGAAATGTTAATCTCAGATGGATGAAGGCGAGATCTTAATTATTTCAGGATTAGACTCGGCGAATGGCACATTTTGGACTGAGCGCTGCCGAGGCATTGGAGAGGAGTGTTGTTGTTCAGTAAAGAGTGGGTGAAATTTTATTAATATTCCCCAGAGGAAATCATAAATCTTAGCCGCAATTGCATTAGCGATTAAAGATTAATTAAAATGAGAAGCGGAGAAGTGTGAGATACTCGGATGTAATTTATTTTTCTCCATCACTATACATGAGAGTTTTCTCACCCAAACGAAGGAGAGCTTAATGTGTTGTGTGCGAGAGTTGAGCGGCACTTTGGCGCAGAAGAAAATTCGTCTCGATATTTTCTTCCATTTTCCTCACATCATCATCCCCTTTAATGTTTATACACCCACTCTTAGGGGGGCGCGCTCTTAAGGAATTCTGCGTGCGAAAATTCTCACTGTGAGCTTTGGAGGAGAGATGTTGGGCGAAAGCTCTCACATTTGAGTGAGAATTGTAATCTCAAATCCGGCGATACTCTGATTGAATTTTCCGTGCGGGAATTGAAACATTTTCCCGTGCCATTCATGCCGACGTAAATACTATTTCCCAAATGGCTCACACCGCCCACGCAAGGTGGACACAGAGAAGGGATGGAAAAATGCTGGTATAGTAAACAGTCAACCCACCACAAAGTCTCGTACTACAGCATCGACTATGTTTGTGCACTTCTGCAGCCTACGAGAGGCTCTGAATGCCACCGCAAAAGCTCCATTGTGAGTGACAGAAAGCACAGCTTCAGTAGTCACCCAGTCTGAGGAGTGTCTCTATTGAGCAGCGTTAAGAATTGTAGTCCTGTTTTTTTCTTTCCACCTTTCTATATACCCCAAAATCACATCATGTCCGGCACAGTCATACAAAAGGGCTTCCAATGCTGCGGAAGCTTACGAAAAACACCACAATTTCAGTCACTACTGAGCTTCTGGCCCACTCCGGACTTGTCCACTCACACTTGGGCTGGGGTGTAAAATTTTGGCACTGGAACCACTCTGTTCCTCCACCAAATAGACACCACAAATCTTCGCACAACCACTCGTCTTCACTTGCCGTCTAAGACTGAAATGGTGTGGATGCGAGGAAGGAGTCCTCGCGGATTCATCTCGGCGCCGCTTCGGATGCTGGAGGAATCTGTGGCCGAATGGGGCGCGTCACGCCGACGCACTCCGCCCGCCATCGATCCGGCTCAGTCGCCCCTCGCATTACACGGCAACAAATGAGAATTCCTGACCAGCGGGGAGCTTTGAAAGCTCCCAAAAGTGACCCTTTGCTGGCTTTGCTGCATCAACGGTATCAGCTGTTGCGAGACAGGATTTCAAAGTTGCAAATAGCAGTAAATTAATTACAACTTTCACGAGAGCTTTTCATCTTGTGCGTGAATATTTAATGCTCAAGTAGTAGTTTCGCACGAAGTTTCTCCGCATATGAAATTGATTATGCGTTGAGAACACTCCGGAATATTAAGCTAATTGGGAGTGTGGGATGTTGGCAGTGTAGAAGCAGATGCTGCGTCCTTTTGATCTATTGGCACAGTGTTAACCCCCGCCCAGGAAGCCCTTTTAATGCAAATATCAACTCAAATCCACTCGCTATTATCCTATCTTTTTATCCGCATCTCTTCATTCTTCTGCACTGTCGAGGCACAAAGTTCGCCTCTTCGTCAAATATTGGCACAAGCCAGAGAGATTAGCGTTGTTTTGCTGCTGGCAGAAGATGATTTGTGTCCTAGAATAAGTCGCCTTATAGGGTGGAATTATGTCACGAAATGTGACCTGAGTTTCGCCAAAAACTTTGCTACAACCAAATTGACATTCACAAGTAAAATGCTCCAGTTTCGGCATATTCAAGGGATCTGCCTTCAACACTCGAACACTCTTATTGCAATTTTTTTTTAAATATAATTGAATGTGGAGTGAAATTGCAGACAAAAGCAGCAAACTCAGTTGAATCAGTTAAATCCTGACTCCTTTTTATGATTGTACTTCGATGATTGGGGAATAGCCAGGAAGGCTACTTCGAAACATCTACGTTATTTTCTCCATGAAAACCAATAAAACTTATTGCATTAAAAAGTTAAAAGAGAACTGTCTGTACTCTTTTAATTCTATATGTTTGAAATTGAAAAAAAAATCTTATTATGAATTTGATTGATTTTTGTTATTTATAGATAAAAGAAAATATGGAGGAAAACCAGAAATTGACCATGTAATATCAGATTTCAGACAAATTTTGCAATCAAGATGAATTAAAATTATTTATAGACGAATTTTTCCGCCAATTGCATTATACTTGAAAACTCTTTCTCTTCTATCTTGCAAAAACCTCTCTCTGACTGCATCGATTTCATATTAATTATTGTTTATTCTGCCAAGAATGCTTTTGCCCAACTTTTCATTCCACTTGCCGATGGAAAAGTCCATTGCACTGGGCAGCAAAAATGCGCGAGCCTTAGTGGCGAATGGGTTGTGTTTCGCGACCAGGAAGTATATATTTCATTCACCTGTGACCTGAAATTGCCACGCCATTGAGTCACAAAGTTGCTGTTCCGTCAACTGAACAGCAGGAAGCACAATGTGCGAATGCTCCTGAAATGTCTGTCAATATTTCTCAGTCGTCGTGCGCGACTTTTAATTAAAAATTCGCTCTTTTTGCGGCCGCATGCATTCTACGGACGCCCTGGAGGAGTGAGCAAAAGGACGTTGCAAAAAGGATTCGGAAAGTAGGAGAAAAGGAAATCAAGAAGAGCAAATATTGATGGAGTCTCGAGGACATTGAACCCCTTTTGTTGGTCGCGCGATTAAATTCGTATCGTTGTGTATTGATGTTTGCAAATCAGTGTGTATTTGATTGAAAATGGTAGATGTGAACTCTTTTCGCCGCATATCCCGCTCTTTTCATGCGTATTTTCACGCCGAGGGAAATGCAAATTCATGCTAACGCTGTAATTTAGAATTGAGTGCTTTCAATTCATCATTAAAATCAATTTCTCCTCTCTTCGCACGTGTCATTCATCTGCTGATATTTTCCTACATTTATTTGCCACAACATAATGCTGAAATTCTCATCATTGAGAAATCTTCAATAAGTAATTCAAATTCATGCCAACTAATTCAATTTATTGTTTCTCCAGAGTGTTCACTAATTTTCACCTTGATTATCCTCTTTGGGGTGAATTTTATAGCCAAGTGAATAATTTCTGGATCTTCCTAAAATCGTACTATATCTCAGATTTTTCAGTATGCTGGCAAATATTAAATTTCTTGAAAATATCGTAAGGAATTGATATACATTGATGAAATAACTTGCTTCAAGTTGTTTCAGAACGGCAATATTAAATTCCTCTAGTAGATTCATGAGAAACTACACCTCTTCCACATGAGCGTCCTTGAGTTCAAATATAGCATCAATTACCCGAACAGGATCACAAAGGAATGCAAGCAATGCGAGCAAACTACACTGGACACTCAAGATATTGCATTCATCATGAGTTTACGTGGAAATACCTGAAGATGACCTAATTTAGCAGAGAGAACATCATGAATAGAAACCTCAATTAAATGATTATTATGCCAATTGGTTGTCTTTGATGTGTTCGATGACGTAAAATAACTTTTAGTGCATTTCCTTGTCCATTTAATGAGGTCACCGAGGTAAATATTTCCTTCCTGCTGCACTTCAATCAACTGATAAGACTTGTTTTCCCTTTAAATCTCATCACAACTACATTGTGCACAATTCAATGCTATAATTACTTGACAATAAGACACATTTTATGACTTTGTAATTACATCTTCTCACGAAAGCGTGTCATTTACCGTGAGAATTTTTGAATTTTGACAAAGAGCAAAATTGGAAAGAATGTATAAATTTTTTGCCATACTTACAAATCATCTAGAGCGTATTTTCACTGATTTTCCGGATTTTCGCGGGATTGCACTGTGCTATATGTATTGTAGATATCATAAAAGCGCTGCAAATGCTTTTGGAGCTTCTGGAAGGCAGAGCGGCAACTGGAAGTATCTGGAATGGCAGGTCGCAATTCCACTGTCAAAACAGTACTGACGTGTTCGTTGTGGGTGGAAAATGTTGATTTTCCATGAGAAAAACGTGTTAATTTGTTAGCAATAATGGTGAATTATGTTGACTTGATATTAATCCTCCTGGTTGCATTGGTATTATTGGCATGTGATATTGACTTCGCCAATTGTGGAGGTAAACATTGAGGCGTAACCTCACTTTTTCCATGGAATTTCTCGGCTTCCGGGCGAAAATTTATGCCTCTGGGGCGCTCTCGTGTTGCAGGGAACCTCCACATGCTGGACAGCGTGACGACGCAGGATATTATAGCTGGAGATGTCTTTTTCGAGGTGCTGGATCCCGCGGAACTAGAGTATACGTACAGATTGCGGCCGGCGAAGGACTTCGGGGCGCCCTTCAATGCCAGCTTCCACTTCCCGCGGATCGCCCTCGTGCCTGTGGTGCCTTTCGACGCGTGCTCGCGGAGCGCGATCAAGAACGGGGAGGATCTGGAGGGTAATGTGGCGCTGGTGGAGCGCGGCGACTGTTCCTTCCTCACAAAGACCATCAACGTGGAGCGCCATGGGGCGCTCGCGGCCATCATCACGGAGTCCAACACGTCGGAGGCGGAGGAGGACGAGTACTACATTGAGATGGTGCACGACAATACCGGCAGAGATGCAAACATTCCGGCTGGCTTCCTGATTGGCATCAACGGCCGTATAATCTTACAGACACTGAAGAAGATGCGAAGGAACTACGCCATCATCAGCATCCCAGTCAACCTGACTTTCACCCCACCACATCAGATCAACCACCCGCCTTGGCTGGGTTGGTGAGAAGCGCCCTCGGGCGAGCTAGTCAATGGGATTTGGTCATTATTCATCGAGTAAACAGGCACTTTTGACAAAGCGAGTCTTTGAGAAGCGCCCCATTCGGCCCATGACGTCCACGGATCGAACGCGATAAGCTCCGGCTATTCCTTGAGCGCTCCAGAAGTCGAAGGAGAGATCTGGAATGTGCCATCCGCGAGAAATCTCTCTCCATCTACTCTTTCCCACCGCCCTGAAGAAGATCTGGTAGTTTCGGGTGCATCTCGATGCCCTGAAGTCCTCATTCCAGACAATTGTCACTCTGCTGCTGGACAGGCGATTCAGTCGGAGATTTTTGATGCGCTGAGGAAGATTACTGGTGGAGTTCTCGCAGAATCTCAAGGAGACGACAAAGGGAGCTGCGAGTCTGAGATCTGCAGTGAATTCTACGCCCGTCACAGGCTGTGGAGGAATCAAAACAGCTGGCGTGTGAACTCTTCGCATCCTGGTGAAGATTTTCTGACTGGGGAAGGCTGGTGAAGAGTATTCTTGCCAAACTTTCGCAGGATTCGTTCTCTCATTGTCCAGAATCTCAGCAAATGCTACCAAGTTTTGTCCGGAAGGCAGTTTCACGCGAATCTGATATTGTTCAGGAGGCAATTTTCTTGTCGAGACGAAGATTATGCAGGCATAGAGCATCTCAGTGTCCTTGTTACTCCTGGTGACGAGGAAAGTGACGTTCTGAGACGCCTTGACACTTCCTGAAAGACTGCCCAAGTTGGACAGGAGAGTCAGGGCTCCCAAAACAGGCTTCTTCACAAACTCCGAGTAAACTGGACGACTGGCGTTCATTCTGAAGTGCGCGAGAAGGGTTCTCTGGTTAAACTCATGTGGATGATAGCTCAGGAAGGCATTGTCATGACTGATGGACTCCAGATTCTTTAGCCATCCTCTCTGCTTGGCGTTCAAGTGGAGAAGGACAGTCATGGCCAGCTTCGCCGCGTATCTCACGTCAGAATTCATGGCCTGAGGATGAGACCAACCAGTGGTGGGATCAGCCTCGTCATTGGAAACTCCAAGTTTGCTGATCCATGGAAATTCCTTCGTCAAGTTGCTCAGCAGATTCAATCCTCCGCTGAGTATTTGCTTCGCCTCACCCAGGCCCTTTCTGTGGAAGGTCAAGATGTCTACTGGGCAGGGATTACTGGAGCAGTATTCCAGGATTCCGTAGCAGAGCTGGTGAAGTTCCCTTTTGTGGAACACGCCGGCTGGACCGCGAAGTTTGAACTGGAATCCCGGGAAGATTATCTGCACTGCCGTCAGTCCTTCCCGAATGGCAACCACATAATCAATGAATCCCGATCTTGTGAAGTTTAGTGTGTTGTAACTGGCTAGGTCAGGCTCATTCCAGGTCTCAAAACGGAAGTTATTTGAGAATGCCAAACCAAATCTCTGCACGAAGTTCATTGTGAGTTGGAAAGTTAATTTTTTCCACAAAATCTTTTTCTCAGATGAGCATTTTCCAGTCAGGATTTTTCCAGGATCACCCATAAACTCAATATGAGGATTCAAGTGATTTCTCCTCAAGATATTGATGAACTTATTCATCTCCCGGAATGAGAAGTCCGGAGAATTCTTTGAGATCCTACAAAGTACAATATTTTTCTCAGATATTGTAGTCAAAGAACCGAGAATTTTCTACCTTGCTTCAATTAGTTGAAGAATCCAATGTGTCCGGACGTGAGTTATGCCAGAATTTGGGATGGAAGCTATCAATTCCAGGTTTTGCCTGACACTAGACGACAACAGAAAGGATGAAGACTCATTTATCGGCGCTGGAGGACAGAATCCAGTGCTAGTCCAGAAGCGTGACAGTTCCCGTAGTTTATCACTGTCTGACAATTCTATTCTAATCACTTCCTGCGAGGAAATCGACCAAAATACCGCGAGAAGAGCGAGACTGGAAAGTCTCTTTACCGCCATTTTTTGAGGTTATGCTAAATACGTCCTTTATTTCCAGGATCTCTCCTGGATAGCCGTGATAAACTTACAAATATCAACTAAATTCCTCTAAAATTAAAATTTAGGATTTTGCTGCTTCCAGGGTTTCTTCTGAATTCTCCCATCTCTCGTCCCGTGAAACTTCCTTTCCTTCGCCGCGTATTTATTGCTGAGGGCTTTCTGCACTTTCGTGTAATGCAGTGCCATTTTATCATCCGACACGTCCTTTATCATCTGCTTCTGCTCCTCCATGTGTTCATTTATCTTCCCGGCCTGTTCCTTCTCCATCAATCTCTCGAGCTCGGGATTCATGCCGCCGAAGCTGAATCTGCCGATCATGAGGCCTTCGCAGTGGACGTAGCTAGGTTCAGCGATGAAATTGGAGCCTGAGAGCATTTTCTGTGTGATCTCGCTGGAATACATGGAGCCAGTTTCCTGGGATTCCTCAGCTTTCAGCACCTTTTCTTTGGTCTTCTTCATGAATTTCATCTCCAGGATAGTTTTCGAGAGTCTCGCCTTGCCGGACATGCTGACACTATGTCTGATTGTATGGTCTTTCAATGAAGTGTAAGATATTCTCCGAATATTAGTGTTTTCTGAAGTTTCCTTGATTTTTCGCCAACAAACAAAAACACCGCACTCGTGGAAAATTGTAAACAAATTTTGAGGTTATGTCATACTTCCATGCTCAATTTGCAGCCAACTTCAGGGCAATTAGTGTGTTGTCAGTTTGTGAGTATTTGAAAACAAGTCTTTTCTCTGTGGAAAATCTCGTGAAAATAGCTATTATTGTGGAGGAAATTTGTGGAAAACTCATGAGAAATGTTTAATAGAAAGAAACCAAGTGGAGGACAGCCAAAGGAGAGGCGAGATCTATCTCAGGTGTGTTGGTAAAAGCGACGCAAACTGCTCTCACTCTCCGGATGAGTCATGCCAAGGAAACTTTCGCAAATCTTTGTCTAGCGCGGTTTTTTAAGTGATTTCTCACGAATTGCCTAACGGGATTGCTTCTGTTTGTCTTCCAGTATGGGCTGTTCGATATTCCGGACAATCTGGAGATGGGCGGGAAGGACAATGACGCCCTGAGCGACGGTGACAGTGACCTCGAGGCTGAACTGATGGCGATTACGGGCGGCGGGGGCAAGAAGAGGCAGAAGACGAGGGCTAAGGCTTCCGCTGTGATGCCCGCGGGGGATCTGGACGCCATGGTGGCGGAGAGTCTGAAGGATGTGGACACAGATGTGGACAGTGACGATGAGAATGATCCGAATCTCTTGAGCGAGCTGGGCGACTTGACAGGAGAGGCAGTGGCGCAGGAGGAGCCGGAGCCCAAGGAAGAAGTCTTCGTGCCCACGTCGACGACAGTGAATGTGCAGGAGATAATTAAGCAGCGCATCGAGATGTACACAATCGCCGAGAGACATGCAAAGGATGCCGGAGAGGCGGGAAAGGCCAGGAGGTTTTCCAGAGGCCTGAAAACACTTAAGGACCTTCAAAAATCAGCCAGTGCGGGCAAGAACATCCCGCTGGAGGATATTCCACCAGAGGTGAGCGTGAAGCCGAGCAAGAGTGAGCCAGAGAAGGAAGATACGCCTCCAGTGGCGCCCTCGAGAGCCGCCCCGCCGGTGCCAGTGGCTGCCAAGCGTCCTGTAGATGCTCTCAACGAGCGTAAGGATGAGTACAAGGCGGCGGCACTAACGGCCAAGAAGAACGGAGACAAGGCCACAGCCCTGAAGCTCGTGCGGATCATCAAGCAGTTCGATGAGGTGATTAAAGCCGTTGAGGGAGGACAGGAAGTGGATCTGAGTGAGATGCCACCGCATCCCTGGGAATTGGATCCCGCCATGCTGGAGTCGGCCACTCAGGAGACTCCTCAGGCGCCGCCACAGGAGCCGCCGAAGAAGGAAGAGGCGGAGACGCAGAACAAGCCCGACGAGGCAAGTGCCGAGGAGACTCTGGTTGTGGCGGGAACTGTGGAGGAGGCGCTGCAGCAGCGTCTGGAGAAGTACAAGTCAGTGGAGAAGGCGGCCAAGGATGAGGGTAATTCTAGCAAGGCGAGACGCTTTGGGCGGATCGTGAAGCAGTACGAAGACGCGGTGAAGATGCACAAGGCCGGAAAGCCGGTGCCATTTGACGAACTGCCAACGCCACCGGGCTTCGGGCCGATTCCCACCGGCGGCGCAGTGCCCAAGGCGACGCCGAAGGTCGAGGAGAAGGCGGAGGAGCCTTCGAAGCCTGCACCGCCACCCAAACCGCGTCCGCCGTTGAAGAAGCAAGAGTCAACGCGGGTGAGCGGCAATCTGATGAACACGACCGTGATGGACAAGCAGGTAGCGGAACTGCAAAGGCGCCAGAAGGAGTTCAAGGACGCTGCCATTGCGGCCAAGCGCTCGGGAGAGTTGGAGCAGGCGAAGGAGTATCTGAAGATCTTCAAGGGTTTCGACAAGCTCATCGACACGGCGAAGGGTGGCTTCCCCGTGGACATGGCCACGCTGCCCATTCCGCCGGGACAGCGGGCGGCGCTCGAGGACTCCTTCGCATTCGTGAGCGAGCAGGATTGCGGGGATTCCGAGGTGGGAGACATCTTCAAGCGCCTGGAGGAGCAGCTGCAGCACCAGCTGTCCATGTGCCGCGTCACGCGTGAGCACCACAAGAACATGGGCGACGTTGCGGGCACGAATCGTTTCGAGAACCTGGCGCTGACCGTGCAGAAGGATCTGGATGTGGTGAGATTGGCGCACAGGAAGCAGCTGGAGCTGCCGAAGTTCCACTATGAGCAGCGCAGCTTCAACATTGTCATGTGTAACACGGATCTGACGGACAACGAGGTGGAGATCACGGTGGTGCGCGGCATCAACTACAATGTACCGAATCCGAAAGAGGTGGACACATATGTGAAGTTGGAGTTTCCGTATCCGCAGGACGATCACACAAAAGACAAAACGCCGCTGGTGAAGAACACTGACAACCCGGACTACGACTACAAGCTGAAGGTGGAGATCGTGAGGAGCAACAAGCAGTGCCAGAGGATCTTCAAGCGGCATGCAATCAAGCTGGAGGTCTTTGCTGATCGGTGAGTTTCTTATCATGCTGTTATTGTGCTTTCCGGGAGGTCTCAAGATGTATACTTAAAATTCCCCGCTCTGAGACGCTCTCTGGCGGCTAATGGCCGCAGTCTCACGTGTAACACCGCGACATAACCTCGCGTTTTCTGTCCGCAAGCTAAATCTTTCCACGAACATTAGGATTCTTGTGAGCACCACCACTTGAATGTGAAGCCTTAACTCTGGCAGAAAAATATCGTTGTGTAAAAGTACACAGATTTAATGATCATAAACAAGAAGAACTCCTTATCTCTCAATGCTCAGAACAAGGAATAAACCGAAACTGAACACTTAACGCAATAAGGATCGGATGGGAGAAATGTGTCCTAAAAAAGATTGCATATTTCGATTTATAGGATTTATTGATGTCTTTTAGATGTCTCAGCATTTGCCAAAGTCGATATTATTATCTCGAGACAGTTTATTTTGTAAAGATAGAAAGCTTAATCAGCCCTGAGAAGCTTATCCAGCAAGATTTACTGTTTTTATGGCCCATCTGACTATGGAAGTTGTCGCGCTCGTCAGCCTCTCCAGTTCTTATCGCTGTCTGATAAGAGACACTCTCGAGCTTACATGATGTTGGATGAGACGAGATCTTTGGCCGCGCGGACGATTTCTGTCCAGTCCTGCTCGGCGATCTTCGTCACGGCGTCCACGAGGATATTCTTCACCTTCCACACGTTCGCCTGGAAGGTCTTGAGCACGTCTCCGGTGGACACGCACTCGCTATCCTTCCAGCAATCGTAGTCCGTTACCATGGCGACGGTGGCGTAGAGCAGGCCGGCCTCCTTGGCCAGCGGCGCCTCGGGCACCTGCGTCATGCCGACGAGGTGGGCGCCCCAGGAGCGGAACATCTCGCTCTCGGCGCGCGTGGAGAAACGCGGACCCTCGATGGTCACAACGGTGCCGCGCTCGTGCACGGGCACGCCAAGCTCCCGGGCGCTGTCGATCAGCACCTGGCGCGTGCGCTCGCAGAAGGCCGGATGCATGGGCACATGGCAGACGCCGGCCGGATGGCCCTCTTGGCCGTCGAAGAAGCTCAGCTGGCGCTTCGTCGTGCGATCGATGAAGCCGTCCAGGATGACGATGTCGCCGCGCTTCACTTCCTCACGTAGCGACCCCGTGGCCGATGTCACCACCAGATGCGTGCAGCCCAGCATCTTCATGGCCCACACGTTGGCGCGGTAGTTGACGTTCGTGGGATTGATGCTGTGCTTCCGGCCGTGGCGCGCCAGGAGCACGCAGCTCACACCGCGGATCTGGCCCTCAATCAGTGCGTCCGATGGCTCACCGAAGGGCGTCGTGACGAACTTCTCCTCGCGCTTCTCCAGCAAGTCCGGGTCATCGAGACCCGAACCGCCGATGATGCCAATCTTCACGGGAGTCTTGCTCATCTTCACACTCACGAAACTGCTGTGAAAAACGCGCTGTGCTCGTGCACGATGATAAGTCACAACACTTGAGAGTCCGGCGAGGCAATGATTCGGCCTTCAATGCTGCTCGCCTCAAGTGCACAGCTATTGTAATCGAGCAATATCGAACGAGGGCAATTTCTGCTGGCACTTTATCAATGATTACCTGAAAAATCATGCGAATATATTGAGTTTTAGCTCAAAGAAGCAAAATGCAGTACAAAAGAGTATCGAAATGTTAAAAAAGGAGTGATTCTGTACCACTTTTATTAGTTTCCGTGTAATTTTCCATACGGAACCAATGAGAATGAGTCTATTTGGAAGTTCTGCATTTTGATGTAAGTCAGATAATCCAGGAAAAATTTAGCAAATCCTGAATATACAGAAATGACAAACGATAATTAAGTAAATCTTGAGATTTTCCCGAAGCACATTCACTATAGGTATTGCAGCTTTTGAGCACGACAAATTGGCTCTAATTCGCTGTTAATTGCGTCTTTTATTTGATTTGGTGTTGATTTCCTGTATTCTAACATGCAAAATCTCACTCAATCCGTCCGGCTGTCGGTCGAATTGCGCGCTGAATCGTTGAACAGGTGCTGCTGGGCGGGTTGTCACTGTCTGCCTCTTTGTTGTTTCAGTGGCTTCTTCCGCTCTGACCAACTCATCGGCACGGTGAACGTGAAGCTGCAGCCCTTGGAGACCGCATGCGAGATTCACGAGTCCTTTGATGTGAGTAGATTGAGCTTTGTGGCTTCCTGGCGGATATTTAAACACGTGTGTGTGTGTTTCTTCTTTGCAGCTGATGGACGGTCGGAAGAAGGCGGGAGGCAAACTCGAGGTGCACGTGCGCATCCGCAATCCCATCATCACGAAGGAGATCAAGAAGATCGACGAGAAGTGGCTCGTGATTGATACATAGAGCTTATCTATATAATTTCATGTATATTTATGTACTCTGGGTTTCATTGTCAGTTACAGAGTAAGCAAAATGGGAGAAAAATGTGTAAAATACTGCGAAATATTTGAGATTTTCCCAGAGAGTCTAAGAAAAAAGGGTTTTTCTTTCTTTGGATTATTTCATGCCTGTATAATTTGTTTCTCGATTTCCACACATTCTAAATGCCTCGATAGAATCAAACGAATTCTTTGTGATAATGAAATTTTCTGGATGGAAGGAGAATCTAAACATATTACCAATCAATAAATTAATAACATTATTATTTGGTGGTCTTCTAAATTGAGATCGTGTCCAATTCAGTGTTTTTCTTTTTTGCCTTCTCTCATCACTTTGATGAGCAATTTTACCTATATAAAACAATTTCTTTAGGGATTCGAATATAATTAAAAATTCCTATCTAAGGCGAATTCTGGGGGGAGAAATAAATAAAAATTTCACTAGAGTGGCCGGGAAGCACCCAAAGATGCGCTGTGCGCCCAAAGCAATCCCAATGGAGAGACGTTATCACAGGAGTCCGTGGCATTCGAGTCGCGACGCCTCTCAGAGCGCCTTCAGTCGCTCGTACGTGACGAAGAAGATGATGTTCCACGGTCCCATGCGCACCAGCGTGGGCACGAAGCCCTTGTACAGCGCCAGGGCACCCTCCTGGCGCACCGTCTGCACGGCGCAGTCGAGGCTGCTGGTGTAGATCTTGGCCGGCAGTCCATCCAGCGCCACCGTGAGGCGCTTCTGGTTCATCAGGCGCGTCCGGATGACGTCCAGCGGCGTGGAGGCCACGGCGCTGCCCAGGCTAGCCACGAAGCTGGCCAGGAAGTGGTTGGCCACCGTGTCGCCCAGCCACGGCACCAGCACTCCCTTGCACGCGTCATACACGGGCAGCTCCACGGCCGCGATGACGATGGCGCGCTGGGCGGTAGGACAGACGCCCCGCCACAGGCCGCGCACGCCCTCGCGGTCGTAGATCTCGCGGAAGCAGGCAAAGAGACTGCGCCGGGCGCCAGCGCTGCCCTCCACCTGCATTCGCACCTTCAGCACGTCCGTGGGATTGGCGATGGCGCTGGAGATCGCTCCGGCCGCCACCGCGCACGCCACATTCGCCCACACTCGCTCCCTGCCGGCGCTGTCCTGCAGAAGGCCGCGGCGCTCCAAATGTCGCTTCAGCGAGTAATACGTGCCGAACTTGATGGTTCCGTACGTGGCCTGTCGCAGGACAGCCGGCCAGATGCCCGAGTACAGCGCCCGGATTCCCTCCTCGCGGCTGATCTTCACGAAGGCGTCTGTCATGCCACGGTATCGCACTCGCGAAAACTGCTCGTCCAGCTTCTGGCCCTGAATCTGGAGGCGTGTCTTGGCCGTGTCGATGGGAAATGTGCCTGCAAAAGCGTGTCCAGATGATGCAATTGTTGGGAAATGTGATGCACCTCAGGTTATGTTACCGAATTCAGCTGTTATTGATGCGATTCCGCCGGATATGAAGAGACTCAGGCCCTCGGGACCAGCCATGGCGCAGCCGGGAGTCGTCAGAGTTCCTCTGTGGCCACTCGGGAGGGGTTTCAAGGTGGGTTTTCCATTAGAAAAGCCGCCAAGAAAAAAAGAAAACACACAGCGCAATGTCACCGCGGGGCCACTACTCCAGTGCCATCTTGTGGCGGAGGGCCAGAGCTACCGCTGATACTGAGGCCTTTTTGGAGGGAATGTGGTAACATTTGGTAAATTCCTTCACACAAAGTGCAAAATAAGCAGAATGCAGAGCCAATACAAGCAACTATAAATCTCTATTGCGTATTTGTCTAAGAACGACATTGTCAATGCTTCCACTCGCACTGAGAATAGAGTGTAAACTGATGTGGGATAATTATTTTTCAGATAAATTGACTAAATATTTTCTGAAGTTGTGCTGCAAAATTTTTTCCTTATATGGAGCTACTATACATACTTGAAAAACAAGTATGAAGAAAAATTTTATCGAAACTGAAGTATGCCTAATAGAGAAAATATTTTGTCTCTGAGTAAAAACGCTTCAAATGGGGTCTAAATATAACTAATGCTACTATCAATTACAGGAAAATAAATTCACAGTTGTGAATATTAAAAATGCGTAATTACTGCAATTAATTCTAGTTGAAAGCAATTTCTATGTGCAACTAGCAAGAATTTTGCAAGGAATTTTGCAAAAAAAAATTTATTTCATTGAAATCAATTATGTATTAGCGCATATTTTACCGCCAGTGTATAGAAATGTGTAGTATTTCATCGTTTTTCGTTTGTTTATTACAATTCTCTGAAAGTGGTTTTCCTGATTTTCCGACATTTTGAGCACAAATTAAAGCTGATTCATTAAGCTGCACTTAATGAATTCTTAGAAAAGTCACTTAGTTGAATCGTCTGCTGAACTAAACACACGAAAACCATGCTAGTAAATTCTGAGAATCACTGTGTTAAAGCTGCTCGAAAGACGACTAAAGCTGTTTTTAAATAGAGGTTCAGCAGATAAAGTGGCAACTTCGACTGTTCGGAGATTTCCAAGAATTTTCATGCCTGAAAGTAAAAAACTGCATTGAAAGACAGCGTTTTTCACTCACTTCCTCTCACACATTTATTCGAGAAAATGCCAGCAATGAAGCAAAAGCCATAGATTTTCAATCCTCATGATACAATTAAACTATTTTTCTCCTCATACATCTATTCCTCTCGATATCCAATGTTAGTTTCTCGGCTTATTTCTAGTGTTACACCTGCAATCTCTCAACGCTACCGTGCGATTAGAAGTTTAGTATTGCGTCTCTTCAGTTGGGAAAATTTTAGGGCAGGAACACTGAGCAAATGAGTTGGAAAAGTGACAAAGGGAGTTTCTTGTGCGCTTTCAAAAGGTCCAATTTATGAAAATGAGTGATCTCGAGAGGGAATTCAGCTAATTCATATGACTATTTTTTCGCTAATCTTGCCTTATTTCAGCATGCGAAAGTAAATAATAATCGAAGAATTGTATTGTCTTTGTTTGATACTCTTGAAAAATGAAAAAGCTGAACAAGTTTGCTCAAAAAATGCTCCTTCTCGTGTGATTGTGAGTAAATTACAGAGTTTTCTCTCATCCATCCTAAAGGTTTTCATATATAAAGACAATATATATAATTTTTATTTATCAATAATCATTAATTTATACTTCAATGAATGCTTTCTACTACACGATTTTTTTTCTTCTTCTTCTCTATTTCACGAAAATCTACTGATTTTTCCTTTGACGCGCCCCTAAAATTCATCTCAGTGATTCTCTCGTCAGCGGATTTCTTTACATATTGTCGACCATAGTACTTCCTTTTTATACATCTACAACTTGTCTGTCAAATTGATACGATAAGATGCATTTGTTAAATTTCCTATAACATATACAAAGAACTATGTTTTTGTCTGAGAAAATGTAATGTTTCTTCGCCATTTAATAAGTTTTCACTTTTCTTTTCTGTATATTACTGTCCTTCAATTAATATCTAATCATTAAATATTTTCTATTTATTCATCTAATCTTGCTGCTTCCACCCTAAATATTTCTCATATATTTAATTACTTCAATATAATTCAATATGTCTATAAATACAGGTTTTTATTCTGTAATTAAGTGTTAATTGTATAAAAAATCATGTCTTATTCAACTATTATTTATAATTCTGTCAAGTATATCTTCTGCGTATTAATTCTCATCATTATTTCATGTAACAAACGCCGTTTTGCGCCTCTCAATCTCGTTCTTTCGCTCACTATATCGCGCAACGCACAAATTCTGTCTTCAAAACACGCACTTTCTCGCATTCTGCAAAACTCCATGCCATATATTCTCAAATATCCCAATTTCTAATTAACTTCTTTATCATCTATAATTGTTTACTGATTTCCATTTGCTAATTATGTCTCTTGTAGAGGAGAAAGACATTGAAGAGTAAGTGATAGTTACAGCTTTTTCTTAAGATGCTTGTAGAAAGGATATAGAAAAGTCTGGTTTTCGCGCGAGAAAATTGCCAAAAAGTCGCTCCCTTTGAGTGTGACAAAAGGATGCAATGATATCATTTTTAGCTTAATTCTAGAGAAAGATTGATAGAAATCAATGAAATGTGTTCTGTTTCTCTTTTTTTTAGGGAAATGAAAGACAATTTTCGAGCTTCTCAGCAATTCTCCCGGGAAAATGCCACGTATAGAAAAATTATTGTTTCATCATTCCTCAGAGATATGTGTTTCTCCTAATTGTTAATTGTTCTTCCTTCTGTGTCAACAAACTGCAGGCCCCTTCGGGCCGTGGCTTTGAGTTGATGTCCTTCTCAGTTGGTCAGTGGAGAAGTCATCTAAATGCACAAAAATTGATCTAATGCCGCTGGGGAAGTAGCGGCGAAGATGAGGGATTAGGGTACGAACCCCCCTCGGAACACCCTGCGCGGTGATGGCCAAAACGTACAGTCTTCATTTGGACAGCGCCCGGCGGGCCCTCAGACGAACCACTCGTCCTTCTGAGCGACCGACTGCAGGTCGGGCTGGCCGAGCTGCCTTAGTTTGCCGGGCAGCAAATGGGACGGACTGTGGCCATCAGCAAGTTGAGTTGTATGCGGAGGTACCCTGATGGTCCCGCAGGGTGACGCCAGTTTCCCGACGGCAGCGACGTGGTCTCGCGGGGCAGCGTCGACCCCGTCACGTACTTGGACGATCCGTTGGACTCGATCGTCGGGTGCACTGCAAAGAGGCGGAGGGTCGTTAGAATTCAGGACAACATCCATGAGCAAATGGGACAGATCCATTCCAATCGTCAGTGAGGATGTCCTTTGGACTTTAGGCTGAGATACTTTAATATCCACTAAAAAGAAAACTCTGTAAACATCTTTCAACAAAAAAAGCTTTCTTTGGATTTCTTCTTACTTTATAAAGAACTTACTTTAGCTTTAAAAAAAAATCTAATGCATTATTTAGAAGTAAGAATTAGCCAAAATATTTGTATTTTCATTTTTCCCATGTCACAAAATATAATATTTCTGCAAAAATCAACCTTAAGTTTCATAAAATAATAAATTCAATAAGGAAAGTGTATATTTTCAAATGACGCAAACAAATACTTTCTGTTTCTACCACAAAATGAAAGTTTCACAAACTTTCCACTTCTAAATTTCACATTTATCGACTCATTAAATGTTCATAAAATTTTCTTTTTAGTTTTGCAAATGAACATATGAAACTGTGCACAAGTGCATTGTTATCAAGTCGATTAGCAAGTTGGGGCAATAATTGTCAATTAAGCTATAGTGTTAAACAGAGAATAGAAGAGACGAAAAGTGTTATTTTAAATGATATCTGTCAATTACATCAACAATGCATAATTATTTGAATAACATGGTTAACTTGTACATGATATATAGAATACTCAATAGGTGCAATTTAGAATATCAATAGCATTCACCCAATTTGTTGATATTTATACGTATGGTTTCGTACTATCAGGTTGCTTAATTGCCTTTTGATTACACTAAAGCCAATATTATAATTGCACAAACATGTTGTGCGCTTTGAAGGCGACGAGGCTAATTAGTTCTGCGCTAACTGTGTGCATTGATCTCGAACGAGGTGGACTTACATTGCATGCTGTTGCCGAATTGGTTGCCTGTCGGGCGCGTGTTGCGCCGGCACAGGCAGATGGCGATGCCCACAAAGCAGGCACAGATCACGAGCAGTCCGCTCACGGCCACCAGCACGATCCAGGTGAGTTCGAGCCCGAGGATGGTGTAGGGATCACTGATGGGACACAGCGATCCGATGGCTTCGTCCGAGCCGTCGGCGCAGTTGTTCACGCCGTCGCACACGAGATCCGGGTGGATGCAGAATTCCCGCAGAGTGCACCGGAAGTCCTTGCACGAGTGCTCTGCAGGGAGAGAATGTAAAGAATTGAGAATCCCGCAAGGGGATAGCGTCACTTTCACTCACTCGGATCCTTGATAGCCGTGATGACCAGTTTGAAACCATTTGTGTCAGTGCCCCAGTTGTCCGTGACGTACTTCAGTGTCACGAAGTTGGTGCGCGTGAAAATCGCCCCAACAGATTGCTTCGTATTGCGACACGTCAAATCGGCCTGAAAGGATATGAATTTCAGTTTAAATCTCACTCATTGTCGCGTTTCAATTGAACTGACATAATTTCCGGTGCAATTGCAACACTGTAATGTTTGCTCATCGCCACAGAATCAATCTAAGTTTCTGTGTTACGCGCTTCAATCCCTCTGTCTAGTGTTAAATGTTACCAAAAATTTGCCATGTGACTAAAACAATAACTTCATTATTCTGCATATGCAATTAAAAGTTTTGTCCCGATGCTGGGATTAATTTTGAACTCGCTTTCAGGGAAGTTCACCTGACGCCAACACAATGCGTTCAGCGATGAATTTCAATTGACAGCCGTCGGGATACAAAGGTAATAAGCTAATTAATTTATGGTGAAGTGCGTTACTTCCACATGAGAGGAAATTGCCAATTTATATACGCATTTGTGGAATATTGCGTGCATACAGTTTTTGCACTTTAGCGCTGCACCACAAAATAAGCAAATCCATTTTCCAGGCGGGAGCGAAATATAGTTGCCAATATTGTGAATTGAGCAATTGAAAATTCCAATAGCACTAAAATTCACGCAATTGAAAATATGATATTAATTAAATTTGCCTGCACTGGTGAATGAAAATGATGCAGGAAAATTACGTGTAAAATGTTTCCTCTGAATGCAAATGCAGTGAATTTCTGCCATTGAAGCCGAAAGGGAAATACATTTGGGTGTCATTAACAGTTGATGACAAATTTGTGCGACATTATGTCCTGCAATGTATTCGGTGGAGATGCAATTTTCCCCTTGATCGCATTCTCATGGTCGTCAGTGTACCGAGAGTGGAAGTTCTTGCGCTGGTGGAGCAATTTTTGAGTCACTTTTGCACTACAATTTTCGCAAAAGCACCATCTAAATGGGTTTCCTCTGCATCTCACCGCCCGTTTGGCCGTGCGACTCATTTAATTATGAATTCACTGTACATATTTGCGATAAATTAGCATTAAATTTTGCAGTCTGTGCAGAAGGCGCCCGAGTGCGTGGAAAATGCAGGGGTGCCGCTCTATTATGATTAGGTGGAGTCACATCACAGAGAAAGAGGGAGAGAGCATGGAAATTGTTGTGTTCAGTGAAATGACGGGGAAATAGATGCAGAACAAATTAAATTACACGCTGAGTAAATTCCACCTACACCTGAAATGATCACACGTATAATTTTCCGTTAATTATACTCAATGAGAAGGCTTTTATGCACCGCAACGAGCACGGGTATTGCAAATATGTGTGCGTATTTTGGGCATATAGATGAGCTCTATTGGCGCATGGAAACTTTCGCCGTGGGCGATGGAAAAGCAATCCACGAGTACAGCACATATTGTACAGTTGATGACATTTTTATGAGGCGCAGAGTCCCTACAATCCTGCTCTTTTATCTTGCCGCACCCTCGAGCTGCCCTCGAAGAGGCGAGAGGAGCTGAGACAATGATGACATCATTTCGAGTGGAGACTCCTGAATACAAATGAGTCGCCCGCTCGAGAGGGACTTTTCTTTGTGGGGATTGTGTTTCTTTTTTGCATTCTGACACCACTTCTGCCACTTCTTCAACCACAAGAGCCACGAGACGCCGTCTAGTTGCCCACGACGCCCAAGGATGCAGAAGATGAGTGAAAAGTTCAGACAGAGACTTGATTATTTTAATAGAAGCAAAGCATCAAAAGCAATTTCAACCTAAGGATAATCTCTGAATGAAAAGAATTGTATTTTATATTAAATAAATACTCATAGAAGTGTTTTTAAAGAAAGCATGGCGAGAAGGAAAAGAAACGGAAAATTCAATGTGTATCTCGAAGCACTTGAATGCACGACTTTTCGAGCTTCATTTCAATCACAAGTTCACAAGCTTTTTATAAGCACCTACTGTGTAAACGTAAAGCTTGGCGCAATATTATATTAAAAAAATTGACTTTAAAAGCTTTAAACTATGTTTGTAATTTGAATTTTAAGCACAATCAATCGGATATAAGTAATAAAATGCTCAAAATTAACATTTATACAACATAAAGTATATGCTAATCATTAACTTTAAACACTAAATAATGAAATAATGTGCGAGTGATTGTGTAATACAATTCTTAAGAATCTTCGCTCTGATTAAGATAAATACATGTAGATATTCTAGAATGCTTTCCAGCAAATGCCACTGAAGTATCATGTTAACGATTTCGGCATTGCAAATTCACATGCTTCTGCACGCGAAGTGTGATATGATTTGGGGTCTTACCTTGTGGTTTCCCACCGCATGAGCGCTGTCGTACACATATAGATGATCATTGCAGTCGAGCTGAAGCATATCAAACCGCAGCATAAATCTTTGGAGGATTGAATCCGTCTGGAATGTGATGATGCAGTCGAGATTGCGTTCGTTCTGTGACCACAACAGCGCCCCATCGATCTTCCGGTATAGCTGGCGAAGGTAGTGGTTCTTGCAGAGCGATGACATGTGATCTGGAAGGGGAAATTGGGATCAAATGAGCAATTTGCCGACGAGATCGAGAGTGTTGCAAATTGATATCTAATGACCACTCCTGCCGCACTCATTGAGCGCTCCACGTTGAATGCCGGAGTGCATCTCAATTATTCACATCTCATAGTGTGTGTGTACTAGTCCTGAATTAATTGAAATTTAATAATCCCCTTGTAGAGCGGCGTGACTTTGTATTTTGGGCCCTATGGCGAATTGATTTGCCCGGCAACTAAGCGAAAGAAATCAATACTTGACCTCTGACCCAATTAATTAATTAACACTGAAGGTATTTTGGGTGTTTTGCGCTCCATTATTCAGCCGTCAAGCGAGGGCGGACTTCATAGCTGTTAATTCTTCTGCAACCGGCTTTTTTCAACTCCTCGCCACCCATTGACAAACAGAAAAATCAATACCCCACCGCCTTGGCATCAAGTGTCACTGAGCAAACAGTAATTGTGTACTCAACAATGCCAATTTACACGAGAAATATCTTAGCATTTTCTCCCAGTCAATTCTCCCTGCCATCTTAAGTGCTCAATTAAGGATGAAATCTATATTATTCCCTTCTAGATGAGCTGCAAAATTGAATATTTTAATTCTCCCACAGGGATTTTTGTCTGTACTTTTCTATTAACATAATGGCAATTGGGAAAAATCACAAGAATTCCTCCTTGGAAAACAGATATGTCAAATTCCTCTGCAGTGAAATATTTGTTCAGCATTTCTTTTTCAGGATACAAAAATTCCATATACAGAATTTTTCTTCTCGTACACAAAACGACAAAGAACCATAACTACACACTAAACTGTGCTTCAAGTTTTTCACATAAAAACACCCTTAAGAACCTTTCAACTATCAAGCGCATCTCAATTGCTTGGAGGGTGGTGCACAGCAGGAACACCGGAATCATATCCATTTTCCGATGCTGACAAACAAAACTTGTGCAATGCAAATTTCAGCGCCAAAAGCATGTTGCAGAGAAGTTCACCTTCTCTCCGTTCTCAATGGAATTTCTCTTCGGAAATGTTCCAAAACTACCCGACGCCAAACAATATATATATATTGGCGAAAACCCTTGCGCAACAATCCAAGAATTCACCTTCAATCACTTAACTTGACAATGCGATTGATTTCTATTATTAAGTATCCTGCGAGTGAGGTGGACACTGAAAAGCCATTATCATTTCAATTTCCACTGCCGACTGACGTCATTTCCGCGCATGTAAATTGACGATTATGTCCAGGAATCAGTTGTGTTCAGTTGAAGAGAGTATCCGCCACGATGCTTGATGCAATTCACGTGATTCCGTCACAAAGGCCCACAATTGCTGTTGGGGAAAAATCTTCATTTCCGCACTCCGCTAATACGTTCATTATTGCGCGGAAAAATGGCCATTTTTCATCTGGCGCGGCAGCCACTTAAATGGGCGGAAAATGACGAGAGAAAGCCCGCCAGACAATGATGAAAAATAATTCTCAAGTCAATTTCACTGGTATTCTTCAATTTCCAACTAATTAAGGACGCGCGTCTTCGCGCCAAATGAGCAGAGGTGCTAGAAAAGGTCTGAGAAAACTAATTATTGTTGATGCCCCGACGCTGGGCTATCAAGGAAATAACTTTGAACCCCGGGAAAGCAATAAAAGGCTGTGAGACGTCACTGAGAACAGTTCCATTAGTAGGAAAGAAGATGAGCTTCTTATAATTAAGAGGTAAAGCGATGTAACTTCGAAGAATATTCATCATTTTACCAAATATTTGTTGATTTTTACAAAACATTTCAGTTCAATCATCTCTTGGTTCTTAAGTGTGTTAAAAGCCCTGTAAAAAGCATAGTGTAAGAGCTGCTAAATGCGAATCCAATTGATGTTTATTTTATACGGACACAAAGTCATAATTAAACTTCGAAAAGAGCTTTGTCTCTAATTGCAACTTAGAATTTGTATATACATTATAAAATGAACTCACTAAACGATGTGTTTCAATTTATTCTCATGTATATACTATATTTTCCAATTGGAAAGTTTTCCCTCGGGCTCGTGCGAGGAGAGATGGCGCATGAAAAGTTGGAAAATTGTCTGGAGAAGCTTTCTCGTTTAGCAATAAAAGTTTATTTTGTTTAATATTATTGCTCCACGATAATATGAATGTTATCTTCTCACCAAAGAAGAACAAATTCCAATGGCGCTTTTTCCCAAACCATAACTCTCTCCAATAGCACATCTAATTATCTGCCAAAGTCAACGTAAAATGCTCTTTTTTCTCTTTTGCTTCTTGCACTCTTTTATGGGTAAAGTTACGGGGAAAATACTTGACAATGCAATGCAAATGAGGATGAGAAATTAACTTTCGACTCTCATTTGCGTTCTGGGGGGTGAATCTCAATTGGTGGAAAATCGATTTTCAATTTTTCCCACCCAATGCTGGTTTTTGCCGTGCGCCAGAAATGGTTGCATTGACGGGTGAGTTGATGTGGAGGAGAAAAAAAAGCTGGAGCAAAATCTGTAGCAGATGTTGCAGGGACGGGACATCTTTTCCACTCATTTTGGGGGCAGTTATTTGTATTCATGATGCTCAACTTGGGCGCTTCGGGCGACAATATTTGTCACGCCACTGAGGAAGACCATTAACACAGAACATTTGCATGCGAGACATCAGCAAATCAAGCATACGATCGAACTTGTGCTATCAAGACTTACTAAAATTCAGGATATTTCAATGGGCATTCATAGTGTTCAGAGGGAAATTTTCACTTTGAGCAATATGTGGCATAAGTTTCTGGCTGAACCGCTCCTTTCCTCTGTCGTCTTTCTGGAGTGGCGCACAATGATTAAACGGTGCTACTCTATTGACAGGCAAAATGCCACCATGGCCACCCTTAGCGAGACGAAAACCATGAAAAATGATCCCCCAAAGCCCCGAGACAATCCCCACCGACGAATTCATGACCCTCAATTTATCATCTTAATTATTCTTTTAATATTTTCTCACTCTATTCCACGCGCCAGAGGCGATCTCTCATTATTTGGCCTTATGGTAAATAATTGTTAATAGCGCGTGTAATAAAATTGGGCACATCTGATATTATTCATAATATCTTTATGGCTCTCGTGGAGAAAATTGCACCCCAGATCGTCAAAGTCAATATTTCACGAAATCCTCTTAGTTCGCCACTCGCGAATTGTGTGAAGAGCTCAAACTTCCGGATGCACGACAAATGAAACCGCAAAGAGTTGGAATTTTTAAAGAATTTCCTTGTATGTCAAATATCTGAGCATGAATTTATCCATTCTTTTCACATTTGCATTGTTGAGAATCTTGAGAATGGAACTCAAGATCCGAAATATTTGAGCTCAGTTGCAATGCAATTACACGAGAATACAATGGATGGATGGTTAAATGTTGGTCTCTTCCTGTTGAGAGCAGCAAAAATACTTGTTTGTGGCGGAAACAATGGGGAAAATATAAATAGCGCAAAAGTGTTTGGCATACTTGAGAAAATGCACTTCTCATGTACAACAATACATCCTCCCGTTCTTGAACTCCTCGTCCGAGACGCTCTTCCGTCAAGAACTTCACTTTTCCGCGCGCACACTGAAGCTCTGTCAACATGTTTTCCCTCTGTGAGCCAGCAAGAAGTTTTGACATCGGAATTACTTCAAACTTGGACCATATTTAGGGCAAAGCGACGGTGTCCAGTGTAATTTTTCCCATATTCCAGTGTCTCTCGGTTTTGGGTTGGAAGACTCCGTCCCGAGGAATCCCCATGAAAGCCAAAGTTGGGGATTTGAGCTTTGAAGCGGAGAGGCAAGTGGCGCAGAATGAGCTTCCGAGGCTGCACCACAAATGGGCGGGGGTGTTTGCCAGACAACCTTCCAGAAACTCTGCACACAGTGGTGGAGTGAAGAGATCCTCGAGGCTTGATGCCACACAATACCGCACACCGGATGCCATCGTCGGGAATCAAAGAAGACGCGGGGTTGCCGCACCCTTTCGTTGTCAGGGGCGGAGAGGGCTGAAAACCGCACAAAGTCTCTCAAAGTGGATTGCAAGTCTCAGTGGCGGGAGTCATCAATACCACTCCTGCTGCCTTGCTATATTGTTTCTAAAATTAAAAAGTCTCCCGAACAATTCTCCTTCGAGCGTCTGGGAAATTTGTTGCACTAATTTCAGAAATTCGTAATTGCTAGGGAAATTGTATGATGCATAAGCATTATTAATTTGGGAGGTTATTAAATGACTAAATTTGATTTTAAAATATTCACGTAATTTCTCTAAGCAAGATAATCTAAGGATATATCTGAACTTAGTATCTTAAAAGCTTGACATCTGTTTTCTGCCCATTAATATCTGTACCTTGATTCGTGCATTTCCTCAGTCTCTAGTAAATTATTAAATTGTTGAATTTCCCCATAAAGACACTTTTCCAACTCACTGGATATATTTATGGAATTCGTGTAACATGATAAATTTTATTTAAGTCTCAGCATCTGTGAATTCCCCTTTTTCACATCACTCTTATGTGTAATTAATGCCAAAGTTTGCTTGTCAGGAGTTCACTGAGACTCCATCCCGATGAAGCTGCCAGGAAATTTTAATGAAGTGCAATAGAATGATTCTATATAGTCTAAATTAATTCCGCTTAAATCATTTGTACAACACTTGCGACATTAGTTGATTAAGTTGCTTTACCAAACGACTTCGACACTGAAAATGCATTGAATGTGAAATAGAGACGCACAAACATATGCTCTCTAATTTAGATTTTTTTTTCTATGAAAAGGGCTCTGCAATAGAAAGGTAGGAAAGGTAACTCAGTGCGTGGATAAAAATGAAGTGTTATTGAAGTTTTACGGGGCTTTTGTTGGCTTGGCGTGGCAAATAAATTCTCTGCAATCTGAGAGGTACTCGTGAGTAAATATTCGACTCATTAAGTAGAACGACAGGTGTGGAATGTGTTTTGATAAATACACATATCAAGC